TCGGTGGCGGTGGCGGCGGCGAGCGGAGGGAAGAAGCGGCGTCGCGGCGCGGTGCGCGCGCGCCTCTCGGCGCCTCTCGGCGCATCTCGGCGCATCTCGGCGCATCTCGGCGCATCTCGGAGGGCCGATCCTCGCGATCACTCTCTCCCCGCCCAGGCGCGCGCCGCGTCGTCGGCGGGCGACGCTGCGACGGAGGAGGGGGAGGCGGCGGCGCCAGAGTCGGCGGCGGAAGGCCCGAAGGAGGGCAAGACAGCCAAGGGCCCCGGGGGCAGCAAGGCCGCGGCCAAGCCCGCCGCCGCGGCCAAGCCCGCCGCCGCGGCCAAGCCCGCCGCCGCGGCCAAGCCCGCCGCCAAGGCGGCCGAGGCGGCGGCGGGCGAGGCGGCGGAGGAGAAGCGACTCAAGGCGCTCAAGGTGGTGCAGCTGCGCGCCGAGTGCGAGCGGCTCGGGCTTAGCAGCGGCGGGCTCAAGGCGGAGCTCGTCGCTCGACTCCTCGCCGCGGCCTGAGCGTCCGCCCATTCTCACTGGGAGAGGCCTAGCGGCAGCCACATAGAAGTGCGCGCGGCCGTGGGTACCAGTTGAGCACCGTGTGTTTCCCTCCCTCGCCCCCACGCAGCGCTCATGCAAGAAGCAAGCCAATAAAACTTGGAGGTCGTCAACAGTAAGTGAATCCCCTCGCTGCGTAAGAGGCTTCGAGGGCTAACTTGTAACGTCTGTGAGCGGCGATGCAGTCCGGCCGCGCCTGTGTGACCCTCGCGCCGCACGAGCCCGCGCACGATGTGTGCCGTGTGCGTCCCCCTGCGGCACACTATTTATAACCAGTGTCACTTACACCTCGCTATGCCTGTACCTCGGTACATGTATTGGCACCGACGCAGAAACGCTCTCTACTGTACGTGATCGTCCCCGGCCATTCCCCTGCGTGCCTTGTGCGTCCTCAGACGGGAGCCTCAATCTTTTCTGCGCTCGACTCGGGGGCAAACATCTTCAGCAAGCAAGTAACCTGTGCACAGAGGCAGAGCTGTGACAACGGTTGGCATTTCGCGAATCGCCTGCTACAGCAGCCCGCTAACGTTGATCTGCTTGTACGTCAGCGTAGGTTCGATGCCGCCCACGCGCACCTTGATGCGCGCCTGCAGGTCGATGGTGGCCCTGCCGGGGCCCACCGGCGGCGGCGTCAGCTCCTTGAGCAAGAGCAAGATGTCAGCCTATCGACACAGGCAATGGGGTGCTAACGCACACTGCGCACGCGCTCCTAGGCTGCCTTGGCCGTGCGGCACATCCCTCTCGGCCACTCTCGGCTAATCGTCGCCAGATCCCGGGCGTACAACTCAATCGGATACGCATTCTGCGTGAGGTATGTGCCTACGGCACGCCCACGACACCTCACCGGCTCGACACTATCACGTCCATGGCACATGGGCGAGGCAGGGCGCGCCGCTCGGCGGCAGCATGATCGCCCGCCGGTCGTCCATCTGCGGAAGGTTTATGTGCCCGATCTGGTTCCCGCGGTACATGACATCCGCCTCAAGGCCAAACACGTAGAGCGTGGCGTCGAGCGGGTTGCGTAGCTCGATGGAGAGGTACTGGCGCAACCGCCCTCCGTTCAACGGGTTGAGCAGCGTGGCGGTGGCGATCGGGATGTCGAGGTCGATGTACGCCACCTTGATGATGTTTGTGTCGTTCGACGCCATGCCAGGCAGGAAGGCGCGCAGCGCAACGCCCTTTGCGGCCGCCGAGTAGAAGGGCTGTGACATGCCTACTGGCAGAAAGGCAGCCCTGGCAGAAATCCCTACTGGCAGAAAGGCAGCCCTACTGGCATGTGACATGCCGACGATGGCAGGGATGAGCGGCGTCGGGCGCGAGGTAAGAAAGTGGTTAAACACGTCCGCGCTCTTGACAATGTCGTGTTCGCGGTCGCTGACGGAGAGGAAGCCCTCCACGGGGAACCAGTCGGAGTGGCCGCGGTGCAGCGTGAAGCCAGGTTGCGTGTTGACCTCAACAAAGCGCACGCCCAGCGACTCCTCCGGCGGTCGCTCCATCTTCGGCCAGGAGGCGTCAGTAAAGACGTCGATCGAAACGACGTCCAGGTCATGCATCACGAAGCTAGACGGATTGAAGATGCGTGCGTCGAGCTCGATGAGCGCCCTGCCAGCGGGCTCAGGCGACGGGAGGTCCTTGAGCACGAGCGGCGCCATCTCGATGCCGAAGCCATCCGCGCCGTTGAGGACGATCGATTTGGCAAATGTTACACCGGGGATGCGCGCAGTGCCCACCGTCTTGCACATCTCGGCCGAGAGCATGCACCCGTGGTCGCTGCCTCGCAGCTCGACGGCGACGACGGCGTACAGCTCAACCGTGAAGCTGGCCTCGTGCACGACGGCACGTGCGACCTCGCGGAAGACCGCAACGTCGTCTACGACCAGCCGGCCCGCCATCTGCGTCTTAATCTTGCCGCCACCGCCGAGCGGGCACGGCAGCGTCGACAGCACTCCAAATTTGCGGCCGCGGAACTCGAGGACAATGTCGGCCGAGGCGAGCGTGGCCTGTGCCCCAAAAAAGAGAAGCTCCATGTGCAGGTCCATCTTGAGGTCGAATGTAAGCAGGCCAATCGCAAAGTGCGACCACTGCGAATCCGGCTTTCGCAGCTCGATCTGATCCACCTAAGGCGGCGGCAATGGAGGGGTGGAGGCACTGCCGGCGAGGGCGACACCGATGGTCCAGGGAAGCAGGGGGACACCTTCATCTCGAACATCGAAATTATGCCCTGCACAAAGGGCTTGCCGATTTCGAGCTTGATCCCCGGCGCGGCTGCCGCGTCGCCTGACGACCCAGAGTACACGAGCAGGCCCGCGGCTGCAATGCAGCCGGCGGTGAGCGTCAGCAGTGCAGCGTTTGGCGGCCTGCGCCGCTGCGAAGCTGGCTTTGGGACGGGAACCGCCATGGCGCCCCCGCGGTACGCATCGCCGCGTGTCGAGGGGCTAGACTCGCTGCTCGAGCTGCTGCGCCGCCGCATGCTCGCTGAGACTGCTCAGAGGTGCATGGACGGTCGAGTTCGGCGGTGCTCGTTTGCTGGAAAAAATATTTTTACTTTTCCAAAACTTCTTTGGATCCAACAAAATCAACCTAGGTGGCGATGCTGGCGGTGGAGGCGACGGAGGCGGCGATGCTGGCGGTGGGGGCGTTGTAGGGGGTGGAGATGCAGGATGCGGCGACAGCGGCGGTGGGCTTGCGGGCGGCGTCAACGGATGCGGTGGAACTGGTGGCGCGGCTGGTGTGCCGAACGGGCGGGCGGGCGGCAATGGTGAGGGTGGAGGTGGCGGTAGCGCCGGCGAAGGTGGCGGCGTAGCGGGTGGTGGGGAGGGCGGCGGCGTGGAGGGCGGCGGCGGGGAGGGCGGCGGCATAGCGGGTGGTGGGGAGGGCGGCGGGGGGGAGGGCGGCGGCGGGGAGGGCGGCGCCAGCGAGGGCGCCGGCGGGGAGGGCGGCGGCGGGGAGGGCGGCGGCAGCGAGGGCGGGCCGGGCGGGGAAGCTGGTGGCGGCCGAGGCGGAAAGATCGGATCACTTGTCACCCGAGTTCATTTAATATAAAATAACTAAGTTTGCTTCGTTGACAAGCTGTGCACGGTAGCAAATTTCTTTTTTGGGATGGCTGGCTCCAGCCAACGCATGGAATGTGCGTAGCACGTAAAAAAAAAAGAAAGAAAACAGACAACCCAAGGGAGGGATGGGAGAACGGCACGCCGCCACCACACAGGGATTTTAAGGAGAGGAGTGTGATGCGCTAGCCGTCGCCTACCCTAGGGAGTCTGCCTCTTCCTATCTCTCTTCGCAGTCCCTCTCCGATTCTCGCTTCAACCTTCGTGCCGTAGCACGTAGCAAAACATCCGCTCCGGCATTTCTTTTTTGTAATGTTACATGGCAGCTTGCCGACGCGACGCGCCCTCGTCTCGGCGGCAGCGCTTCTTTCAGCGCCTCGTTTACCAGCGCACGCGATCTCGCGCTGGTCGCTCCCAAACGGTGAGGTCTCGCTTCGAGAGCCTAGCTTCGCCTGCGGCGGCAGCAGCTACGAGGCGCCAATCCTTCTCGGCGCTGGCGGCTCTGGCGCGGCGCTCTCGGTATCGCCATCGTCGTCTCGGCCGGCAGTCAAGGGCGAGCGGGTGGTGCTCAAGGTCTCGTGGTCCTCTCCCGGCGCGGCGGCGGCCGTGCGCAACGAGGGAGCCGTCCTGGAGCGGCTGAATGGCGTCAATGGCGTCGAACGGCTCCTCGGCAGGTCAGCGGCGACGAAGCAGCACGCGTGTGGAACGGCTCCTTTCGCGACAGCCGCGCGCCACGACTAGGTGCGACTACACTGCCATTTCGGGCGGTGGAGAGCCGGGAGGCTCCGGCCGGGTCGCCCTGTTGCTATCGCCGCTGGCAGTCACGACAGCGCGGGGCCCTCCATTCTCTGCGGTGCACCGCGGTTGTTCACGGGTGCAGCTGTGAGCAGGTGGAGGACGCGGTGGACTCGATCGGCGCCCTCACCGACGCGCGCATGCAGGAGGCCGCCACGGCGCAGCTGGCGAGCGAGATTCGCCGAGATTCGCCGAGATTGATTCACCGAGATGACAGCACCCGAGATGTGCCGAGATTAGGCGAGCACGGTGATCGCCATCCTCGCGGCAAACGTCTGCTCTACCGATCTGCAGCTGCTGATTGACCGGCGCGCGGCGGCTGTGGCGGCCAGTGAAATGACCGAGATTAGCAGAGATGAGCAGAGATTCGCCGAGGTTCTAGGCGGACGGCGGCGCTGACGGTGATCGACCTGACCGAGGCGTGCGAGCGTTTGTTAACACACACACACATACATACACACACACACACACGTCACACACACACACACACACACACACACACACACACACACACACATACACACACACACACACACACACACACACACGCACACACACGCACACACACTCACACACACTCACACACACACTCACACACACACACACACATCACACCGCTCACCCACGCGCACTGGGCCGTGCACGTTGAACGCCGCCGGGCTCCTGTCGTTTAGAGGAGGAGTCGCGAGGGCTACCTGGCCCTTGCCCCTCTACCACCCTGTGTGTGTGTGTGTGTGTGTGTGTGTGTGTGTGTGTGTGTGTGTGTGTGTGTGTGTGTGTGTGTGTGTGAGTGTGTGTGTGAGTGTGTGTGCGTGTGTGTGTGTGTGTGTGTGTGTGTGTGTGTGTGTGTGTGTGTGTGTGTGTGTGTGTGTGTGTGTGTGTGTGTGTGTGTGTGTGTGTGTGTGTGTGGAGCAGCTGACCCTACCTGACCTGACCTTACCTTCCCTTACTTTAGGCGCGGGTCATGGCGTCGCCGCCGTCGGACGCCGACCTCGCGCAGGCAGATCTCGGGAGATCTCGGGAGACCTCGGGAGATTGCAGGAGATTACGGGAGATCTCGGCGAGGTCTCGTCAGAGCCGGCGTCAAGCAGATCTCACCAGCGCCCGGCTAGAGAAGCTCTTCTCAAAGCTTCGGCGAGCGCGGCAGAGCTCAGCCAAGGCCGGACTGGCACAGGTCGCCCGTCTGGGTCTCGGCTAGAGTTCGGCTGTGCCTCGGCCGGATCTCGGGCTCGATCCCCGCTGCCCCTTCACCGCCCGACGCCTTTCTCCCTTTCCCCCGCCCTCCAGGCCGCCTCCTTCGCCACCGAGGCCCGCAACCAGGTGCAACCTCCCGAGATCTCCCGAGATCTCCCGAGATCTCCCGAGATCTCCCGCAATCAGGCCCGCAGCCAGGTGCCGCTCTCCCACGCCGCACTTGGCCTTTGAATGCCGTGGGCTGAGGCGTGGCCCGCCTACCGTTTGGTAGACGAGTCTACCGCGGTCCACCAAGTCTACCGGTAGACCGGTGACCTATGTTGGGGGTACGGTCTACCAGTAGACTGCGGTAGATTCGTCTACCAAACGGTCTACGGGCTACCCGGTCTGCCGGTCCGGCGCCACCCCTCAGGCCCTGGGGCTCCTGCCCGTGACTTTGTGTGGTGGAGATGCGAGGCCTGCCGTGACCTAGCCCCACCAGCACCACGTTGTGCGTACCTCACCTTAGGTGCCGGCGCGCTGGCTGGGGTACTTTCAGCAGCGCGCGAGAGAGGAGGCAGCAGAGCTTGCGCGGCGGCGCGGCCCGCCTGCGGACCCTGAGGTGCTGCAGGCGGCACTGGACGCGGTGGCGAGTTAGCTGAGTTTGGATTGCCAGTCGATTTCTTTATGTATTATGTGTCGCGGCCTGCTGTGTATTGAGGACGAGATTCGTTTCCCGAATTCTCTTATCATGAGCAGCGTTCCCCGCGTCCTCCTTACACGTTACACCCGCGCACCAACGCTCAACGTGCACTCGCGAAGCGGCGGGTGAGGGTGGACTTTCATCTTCAAGTTTTGACTTTTGTGGGGGCCATCCGGCTTACACGTTTTATCTGCGTTCTCGAGGTGCCTTTCGCGTTTCGGTGTACGCGATCGTTTGTGCATCTCGACTCTCTCATGTCTCAATCAAAATATCAAAATATATCTCACCAATCGCACCAAAGTTAAAGCGGATTGGAGGTCACGTTGGACGTTCGTGGACGTTGTAGCTGCATGGCATGTCAGCGGTGCCACGGTATGAAATCGGCATTCATCGCCAGGCACGAAGGAGCACACGCTCGCTCGGCGAACGAATAAAGTTCCGTTGGACTGCAACTTTCAGCACTCACCGCTTGGTCTTTGGCGGGTTGAGCTTATTCTCCTGCTTTTCGAGCATCGAGTCGAATGTGCGCGCCTGAGAGCCGCGACGACGCAATTCAGCGGTCGATGGCAGGGCTTTGTGAGATCTCTGGGCAGCCATTGCACCGAGACCATGCCGTCGCGGTCATAGTCGGCAAGATCGAACCAGTCGTTGACGTCCTTCAGCCGCTTGAGGCCAAGCCGCTCCTTGAACTCGGGGCCGTGCGCCTTGATCGCAGTCTTCATGTCGCGCTTCGACACCTGTCCTTGATGCCTTGAAAGTCACAGCAGTGTCTCTGATGGGGCGTGTCTGGTGCTGTGACTGACAGACCTTGCCATCACCATTCTTGTCGATCGTTGACCAGATAAGTTCAACGGACTGCTTCCGATTCAGCGCCATCGGCGGAACGGGCGGGGGCGCCGTTGGGGCCGCGTCCAATACCTGAGACCCCTCCGGAATCGGGGCAGATGGCGCCGGACCGGACGGCGCCGGCGGGATGTAGTCGGCTGCTGGAGCAACCGCCGCCGCCTGAGCAGGGAAGGAGGGAGAGTCGCCAGCGTGAGGGCTAATGCATTGCATAGCTGCCGAACACCCTGCCGGGCTTGCTCGCGTAAGGCTAAGGAAGATCGCGCCTGCCCCTCCTCAATCCTGGAATACGACCCGCCTATGCAGCGGGTCAATATAGAGGTTGAGTGACGACACATGCAGTCTGACTCCCAATCTGGTGCGCCGATGGAGCATGCGGTCGATCGTGCGGGAGGTGTGTGCTGCGTGTTTCTCGACGCGAGTGCAGGGACTAGAGTGTTGCATCCAGACGGTAGGCACCGCCGGCGTCCTGCTCTGCCTCTGACTTGCGCTTCTTGCAGCAGCAGGAGCAGAGGCAGCGGAAGCACTTGCAGATGCCGCAGAGGCAGTTGCACAGCCCCTTGAGCAGGTTGCAGATGCCCTTGCAGCAGGAACCGAGGCAGTTGCCCTTGTCTTCGCCCATGCTCGCGCCGACGGATCGCCCCCGCGAACTCGCGATGGGACGCACGTCCAGGTGTGAACAACACGCACACCGCGCGCTCAGCTGTTTAAATTCTCCTGTGTCGAGCCTGTCTGCTGTGAGAGAGAGTTGTTTTGTCTAAATTCTTCTGAACGTACGAGTTTGAGCAGAGCTCTGTTTGTCGTGTCGACTGCCGTGCCGGAGTTCCCGGAGGATCGACAATGCTGCCATCCGACACGGCTGGAACCCCGGCGTCGTCGTCTGTGGGAACGGCGGTCAATCTCCTTCGCCTCGTCCTACGCGAGCACCTTCCCGGAGCGGACGGGGCGCGTCGTGCTCGACGGCAACCTCTTCCCGTTCCCGAACACCGTCTCGATGGGGCTGGTGTGGACGAGCGCCGTCTCGCAGGTAATCGAGCACATGCTCAACAACTGCCGCGTAAAGTCGGCCGTGTGCGCGCTGCAGAGCCCGTTCCGCTCGTTCGAGGCTGTGCTCGACGCGGCACGGCGCGGGGAGCTGCGCAGCCCCAAGACGGCCGACGGCTCGCGCATTGCGCTCAACAACGGCCTCATCGTTGGCTACATGCATGACGTGGCGGAGGAGCGCGGCTGTGGCTGGAAGAAGGCTTTGCTCACACTCGCCTTGCTCAATGCGTCTGACGCGGCGCACCGCGAGGTCGGCGTCGTGCAAGTGCTCGACCGGCTGTGCAAGGTTGGGCAGAACATCACCTGGCGGCGCTACTCGTCCTGCATTGACGGCATCCTGGTTGGCGAGGACGACGACGCCATCATGGGCACCGCCACGCTGGCAATGGACAACGCCGGCCGGCTGAATGTCGACAGCGGCGTCGGCATGTGGCGGGCCGAGCGCAAGTTGTATGGCGAGCACATCCTCGGGCACTCAATTGGGTACGTCTCGTCGATGGGCACGTGGCAGGTGCAGCCCAAGCCCGTGGCGCCAATCGGATCGGTCGACGTCGCGCCGCTCGTCGTCGGCAACCTGTATGACCAGGCCACCTCGTACATCCTCTCGCAGCACATGGCGGCCTCCTTCCCCCGCTCCTCCCTGATCACGTACCAGGGGCTCGGCCACTGCCTCGACCAGCCGACCGACCCCCTCAACCTCGACCCGAGCGGGACGGGCGAGTGCACCAAACTCGTCAAGAACTACCTCCGCACTGGCGACCTGCCGCCCAAGGGGCACACCTGCGCGATGGACGTGCCCATCCCGGTGCCCACCGTTGAGGAGGTGGCTGCCGCGGTGGCGGTGGGGGGCGCGAAGTAGCGCGGGGGAGGGCACGCCGTGCTCCGTGCGTCGCCGACCGGGCCTGCCTTCGCTTGACGCGTCTGGGCTCCCGCGCACCGGTAATACGCCACCAGCACCACCGTCGATTGCAGGCCAGGGGTGGGGCGGTGTCGGGTGCATGGGGTGCACTTTGGAGATATGCAGGTGCAGATACAGATGCAAGGTGAGATTAAGTCTACTGTCTGGGAAAACGACTGTGTCCTGTATTCTAAAATGTAAAAAAGAAAGCAATGGAACACACGGTTCGAGAGTGGAGTGGCGGGTGGGGCTCTGGCGTCACAACGGAGAACGGACCGGTAGGCTCGCGCCATCTCGTAAAGCCGTATCTGACACCCTCTGGTGGAGAGCGGCTCGGTTGCGGTCACGCTCACGTCCACAAAACCGGACGCGCGTCACGGCGGGCTGGCGGGCCGCATCGCCTTGGTGCGGTCGGGCTGCCAGATCGGCAGGACGAGCGTGTCGCGCGCCGCCACCACTTGCTCCGGAGGCAGCTCCGCCTCGGCGGCGGCGGCGGCGGCGATGGCGCGCATCATGCCGACGGCGTCGGGCGGGTAGCGCTGCGAGAAGTGCGTGAGCAGCAGAGCGCGCGCGCCTGGCGGAGGTGCAGCCGAGACACAGTCGAGGAAGGAGGGGGGGGGGGGGGGGCGGAGGCGCGGCCGAGGTGCAGCCGAGATGGGGCGAGACGCAGCCAGGCGCAGCCGAGATGCAGCGAGCTATGCTGCCGAGATGCAGCCCGGGAGGAGCGCGCGCGCCGAAGCGGCGTGCGACAGCGCCCGCCATCTGCGGCGTCGAGTGGCCGTGCGCCGCCGTCTCGCGCTGCAGTCTCGCCAGCCCGCCGCTGTCGCCGTACTGCGGCAGATAGGCGTTTGTCGCCTCGCACCACAGCGATTGATTCGTCAATCATCAACTAGGTAGTTGTTAACTATCATACGCGTTCGTCGCCTCGTGCACCAGCGATTAATTCGTCAATTATGAACGAGCCCCCCCCCCCCCCCCTCCCCTCTAGTTGTTGATTACGCGTCGGTCGCTAGTAGCCTGATTATTAGCTAGCTACTTGCAGGTACGCGTCTGTCGCCTCGTGCACCAGCAAGTCGCACCCGGCGGCGATGCCCGAGCAAGGCGAGGCGTCGCAGCAGTCGCCGAGCACCGCAATCTTGCGTCCGCGCCGCGTGCCGCCGACCGCGTCGGAGCCTCGGATCACCGCGCCGTCGGGAAGGACGAGCTCCTCCTCAGAGCCGAGTGCCGCAACCTTCTTCAGCACCGATCGCGGGTCGCGCACGCCCCACTCGTCCGCGAGCGCCTGATTCACAGCAGCAGGTGTGAAGAGACGCCGCTCACACCATCATCACGGACCCCCCCTTCGTCCGCAAGCGCCTGTTTGTTGCGCTGCAGCAGCGGCAGCACCAGCTCCGGCTTGAGGCGGCCCCGCTTGGACGCCTGGTGGTCCACACAGCTGCAGGTGTGGAGAGGCGCCGTTCACAGCTCCGGCTTGAGCCCCCCCCCCCCCCCCCCCGCTTGGACGCCTCCTCAACGACGTAACCCACTGTCGGGACGGTGTGGCGCACCGGCGCCGCGCGCACGGGGACCGAGCCACTCTCGCCGAATGCGGCAGTCAGCAGCTCCCAGCACCCGTCTGGGCGCGGGCGCAAGTCCAGTCCACCGGGCTGCTCGCCGGCGTCGGAGCTGCGGACGTCGCCCGGCGCGACGGCGAGCGGCGGCGGCGGCGGCCGCGAGGAGTGCAGGTTCGGTATGTCGTGCAGCTCATGCACCTAGTGTGGGGAGATGTGGGGAGACATGCTCGAGAGATGGGGAGAGATGCTCGAGATATGGGGAGATTGCACCACGAAGCGCGGAAGCATCTTGGCGAAGATATGGGGAGATATGGGGAGACATGCTCGAGAGATGGGGAGAGATGCTCGAGATATGGGGAGATTGCACCACGAAGCGCGGAAGCATCTTCGTGCCGCTGAAGCGAAGAGTCACGCGCAGAAAGGCGCGCAGCCCCGCCTGAGGGACATGTCTCGGACATGTCTCGGGCATGCCTCGGACATGCCTCGGGCATGCCTCGGACATGTCATGGACGTCTCGGCTGCGTCTCGCCGGCCCGTAGATGTCCATCGGAGGCGGGTAATCTCGGGTCATCTCGGGTCATCTCGGGTCATCTCGGGTAATCTCGGGTAATCTCGGGTAATCTCGGGTTATCTCGCCGGCCCGTAGATGTCCATCGGGGGCGCGTCGCGGTCGCGGCCACGCGCGATCAGGCAGAGGAGGCCGGGGAGGCCGAAGCAGTGGTCTCCGTGCGCGTGCGTGACAAAGACGCGGTCGATGCGCCTAATTAATGCGTAATTAAGACTTAATTAATAGTTGATCAGGCGTGTGCGTCACAAAGACGCGGTCGATGCGCCTAATTAATGCGTAATTAAGACTTAATTAATAGTTGATCAGGCGTGTGCGTCACAAAGATGCGGTCGATGCGCCTAATTAATGCGTAATTAAGACTTAATTAATAGTTGATCAGGCGCGTGCGTCACAAAGAAACGGTCGATGCGCCCGGGCGCCACGAAGCACCGCTGCAGCTGCACCTGCGTCCCTTCGCCGACGTCGAAAAGCCAGTACGAGTTGAGCAGCCTGGGAGACAAGGAAGAACGACTGGCGTGAGACTAGCGGCGCCTCGCGACGTGAGACTCGCGTGAGACGTAGCGTGAGACTGGCCTCGCATCGTGTTGTCTCAGCGGCTCTGTGTGTGTGTGTGTGTGCGTCTAGCGTGAGACTGGCCTCGGCATCGTGTTGTATCAGCGGCTCTGTGTGTGTGTGTGTGTGTGTCTAGCGTGAGACTGGCCTCGCATCGTGTGTGTGTGTGTGTGTGTGTAGCGTGAGACTGGCCTCGGCATCGTGTTGTATCAGCGGCTCTGTGTGTGTGTGTGTGTGTCTAGCGTGAGACTGGCCTCGCATCGTGTTGTCTCAGCGGCTCTGTGTGTGTGTGTGTGTGTAGCGTGAGACTGGCCTCGGCATCGTGTTGTCTCAGCGGCTCTGTGTGTGTGTGTGTGTCTAGCGTGAGACTGGCCTCGCATCGTGTGTGTCTCTAGCGGCGTCCGCCTCAACGCAGTGCGTGTATCTCGGCATCTGAGTGTGTGTATCTGGCGTGAGACTAGCGTGGCCTGCTCTGTCTGTGTGTCTCTAGCGACGTCCTCAGGTGGCGAGATCATATCTCCCCACATCTCCCCAGATCTCCCCAGATCTCCCCAGATCTCCCCAGATCTCCCGTCCTTTGGCGCCTCAACGCGAGCGACGAGGCGGAGCGAGTGTCTAGGAAGTGTCTAGGAAGTGTCTAGGAAGTGTCTAGGAAGTGTCAAGTCCGCCTCAACGCGAGCGACGACGCGGAGCGAGTGGGGGACGGGTTGCACGCGCCGCTCCCCAGCACCACCACCTCCATGTCCGCGCCCGTGCCCGTGTTCCCGCCACCCGCGCCACCGCCCGCGTCAACGCCGCCGCCGCCGCCGCCGCCGCCGCTGACTGGAGCCGCGTCGGCTGCAGCCTGCGCTTCTCTGCTGCCACCGCTGGCGGTGAGTGGAGCGAGGCCGTGAGAGGACGGCGCCGCGGCACCGCCCTGTAGCGTGCGGCGGCGCGGCGGCGCGGCGGCGGCAGCGGAGCTGTCATGCGGCTGCGTGGCGGAGGAGGAGGAGGCAGCAGAGCCGGAGGCGGCGGCAGAGGCGGCGGCGGCGGCAGGCTTGGCGGCGTATTCTTGCAGGCGCGCCGCAAGCTCCGCCTTGGTGCCGCTCACGCGGAGAGAGCGGCTCGCGCACGCCGCCCGCAGCTCCTCGCGGCTCAGCCGCCGCACAAGCTCCGCCGCGCCAGCACCACGCAGCGACGAGTCATGCAGCGACGTTTCGGGCAGCGCGGCGATCGGGCGAGCGGCGCGGCTGCAGCACGCGAGCTGGCGCGTCGGCGCGAGCGGTGTAGACCAGCCGAGCGCGCCAGCGACGGCGGCGGCTAGCATATGCTACAGAAGCAGGAGCTCACCCTCTGCGGACGACGCACGCGTGAAGCCTCGAAAAAAAGAATTCGATCGGCATGTTAACAACCACCAAAAAATGGCGAAGAGCCTCGCATATTCGCGCAACCAACGTACGACCCATATCAATACGTCTTACCGCCAGGCTTACTATCTGGGTGTGCGCGTCACGGCTGAGCCTGAGGCTGGTCGCTGCGTTCCACCGACCGCGCGTGCAGCGGCCTAGGGAGCGCGCTGCCACATAACAGCCTCAATCAATCAATCAGTCAGCCTGAGAGCCATCACTTGCTCTTGATTGAGAGAGGAGAGACCGTCTGCGTCTCTCGTGCTGAGGACCTTTCGTGAGGACCTTCGCCTGAGGACCTCTCGCTCAGTCCGCCTGAGGACCTATTGAAGTAACTTAGTTCCGCTCTTGTCGCACATGGTGATCTAACGCTGTGAAACACCAACACGTCATGAATGAAGAAACCTATCTCAGGCTACCAAGACGGCTTTCGTGCACTTCCTTAAACAACCAAAATTATACCCATTACCTGTTTGTGGGTCACACTCTGTTTGTGCGTCACGCTGAGGCCGGTCACCCTCCCGCCGCGTCCCACCGCGCCTGCAGCGGCCTCAGCGTGACCGGCCACACAGCAGCCTCGGCCAGTCTATGCATAAGTCTGACAGCCACTTGCTTTTGACAGAGGAGAGACCGTCTCTCCTCGTGCTGAGGACCTTTCGTGAGGACCTAGTCCGCCTGAGGACCTCTCTTGTCAATGTGGACCTTTCGGTGCCTGTGGTGCACACGATCGGAGAGGACCCACACCGCTCACACTCTCGCTGAAAATGTGCCAGGAGCGGCCTCAGCGAGCCGACTTCAAATAATGCCACTTCAAGAGAGAGCTGAGAGCCTCTCTCGTGCTGAGGACCTCCCATGAGGACCTCTGTCCGAGTCTCGGCCTGAGGCCTTCTAGTGCGGACCTTTGTCGGTGCCTGCACTCGACCGTCGATGTGGAATAGGATTGACGGGCAAACCAATATTCAGCCATAGCAAGAGGTGAGCAACCGAGCAGTACCACAAGAAATACTCACAACCCACAAGAAATCTCACTCACTCACACACGGTGCGGTGTGGGTGTGTGCGTCTGAGCCCATGGCGGATCGAGTCTCACGCAGAGCGCACAAGAGGCTGACCGGCTCGGGCACCTCGTCCCGAATCGCTCGCGCGGGCATCTTGGCGTTGTGCTGAGCTGTGGAGCGCGACCGGTAGCCTCTGACCATCGTGTGGCGTGTCATTCTCGGTGATTCGCGCGACAGGATGGACCAATGAACTTTGACGCGGCGCTGAGGCGACGCGTTGCGGGCATAAGAGCAGAAAGGGCTGTCTTTATTTACGCCCCGCGCCTAACCTCTATATCTCGGCCTTCGTCAGAATGATGTCTCTGGACGTACCAATGGGATCCTGCACAACTTGAGCAGCGCGAGCTGCAACGCAGCCCATGCCACTTCATCCGAACGGCCAGTACTATTGGCAGCCAGCTGCGCGTCGCAGCGTGAACGTAGCTCTGTTCCTTCATGAGGAGTGACGCACGCCCAGTGAAGCCCGTCGCTTCCGTCCGGCATCTCCGCCCGGCGCGGCCATGACAGTGCGTGAACGTCATGAAAATGCAGGTGAGCCGTACTTGCGGACCCCGCACGCGTAGACAATGCCTGTCTGGCCTCGGCAAAGCGGCGCGCGATCTCGTGATTGATCTCGTCGAGCCTCGGGAGCAGTACTGCGTGGGGGCCCTTCGTGTACGAGACAAACACGTTGCGCACCACCACATCTGCAATCGCATACGTGCGTGCGATGCGCATGATTTCGTCCAGAAGCCATGCAAAGCGCGTGCCGAAGGTCTGAATAGCTGTGGCGCCGCTCTGGGCAGAGAAGACAAGGTCCCAGACGCCGACTCCAAAAATCAGCGCGAGACGCCTCTCATGACTGTCGGAGCGCACCGCCTGCCGCAACTGCATCGAGACGTCCGAAAGATTCGTGGCGAGGCGATCCATTCGTGTGCTATCTGTGTAGAGCCCGCCCACGAATATTCCTTGTATGGACGAAAGGTTGTACTCGGACCGATCAAGGATGCGCTGCTTCGGGGCACCCTTCCGCATGCGCCACGTTGGCTTGTTGCGCCCGTGGTCAAGCCAACGCATGAACTCGAACATCAGCATCTGCGTCTGAGAGTCGCCGACGAAGAGCACGTCAACGGTACCTCGCGACCGGCGCAGGCACGCAGCAAAGGGACCGTTGTCCGCCTCGTGCCGTTCTGCATGCAGCACAGGAAGCGGTGTTGCATCGTGTGCGCAGAGCACATACTTCGGGTGCTCGCAGCCGTCACGCTCTTTACACCATTGGCCTGTCATGTATGGCAGACATGCGCCGCTGTGGGCGAGCGACGAGTTGGCGTCGCACGCCAGCGCGGCGTACGGACGCCAATTCATTGACCGACTTAGGATTGTCCTGCGTCGGCGCAACAGGTTCTCGAGGTTCTGGAGGTGGATATCCTTTGGCCGCGTTGGGTAGCGAGGATTCTGGACAAGCGGGGGTAGGGTATGGTGCCGTCTGAGCCGTCTGCTCTCGACGAACGATTTTTTCGGAGCGAGACGTCGCTCAGGGACCTCGCGGCACGCTTGAAAGAGGCGTAGAGGGTGTGAACTCCTTATCGCCACGGTCGAGGGGACCAGCAGCACACACACACGCCTTGCATTATTTCTCACCGTTTTTTACGGAGTACCCGGCGGCGCGCGAATCCTATACTTCGTCGTGCCATCGAATGGTCGCAAATATGCATTACGAACAGAGCCTGCGGCCCCCCAGTACACACGAGCGACTACAAAGAGCACATACAATCATGCTCCCCGCTCGAGCCAACAGCCCCCTCGATCGCGGCGCGCCTTCACCGCTTCTCGCGGGCCGTAGTTAGATTCCAGACGGCTCACACGGAGGCCGATCGTGTGGCTAAGTCCTCCTGCACACACATACCTAAGACTGACTAACTGCAAACACGAATCGTGCAGGTGAGTGAACGAAGTCCCCCCCCCCCCCCACCACCACCACCACCACCACCAAAAAAAACCGCGAGCATCGCATTGCCGAGCTCCCACACCGCGCCTCCTCGGCTCCAGTCAGTGTTGGCCGCGCCAGTTCTCGGTGGAGTCCAGAGGCCGCGCGCGCCTTATTTTTGGCGCTGTGAGGACCTCCTGCTTGTGACGTTGTGAGGACCTCTCGTGAGGACCTCTCATGAGGACCTCCGTCGTGAGGACCTCTTCTTCGGAAGTACCTCCCGTTAACCAAGTTTGTTCCGCCGTCAGCGCTTCGACTGTCGAGCCTCAATGTGACTAACAAGGACAAATGCAGTGCGCCAAGAAGAGTTCCTTCGCCGCCATGCGGAGGATCGATTGAGAGCGAGCTGAAAGTAGACATATTGTATCAGTGTGAAGTGTTAGTCGAACGAAGTGTTGGCCTGGATACTTTGGGTGCTGACGATCAGGCAAACCATTTTGCTGTTTTTGCAGCCACTTCCCCAACCTTCTCAGGGATGATGTGCAAGGGTGACGACATCATCCGGTCCCGCCCGCCGGTGGTTCTAGTGCGTGTCGTATGTGCCTATGCACAAAACACAAAAACAAACGTGTGAGTGTTAGAGTTGTTTGGTATTGCTAAAAGATCTCTCTCAAAACACCATGTGAGTGTGTTGTTACGTACGTAGAGCCCCCACGGAATGTGGCGAATGCTGCCTGTGTCTACGCTGGCTCTGCCGTGACTGACGGCCCCCTTCCTTTGTGACTCTGGCGCGAGGGTACACTAGTCTAACCACTTCCCCTGCTCGTCCAGAGGACCACGAAGCGCCGCCCGCGCGCCCAATTGACGCCCCCCACTCAACCCTCCTGCTGTCCCTCAATCGCCACCCGCCAGATGTACTGCCCTCGCCCAACCCGGACAGTCCAAAAAACAGGAAAGGGGGGAGGGAGCGGGGCCCGATCCCCAAGGAGCACCCCGTCGGCCCGGGAGGGCTGTGAATTTCGGCGCGGGCGGAAGGCTGCCTGCAGACGCTTAGCCCCGACTGAGCTGCCGAACCCTCCCGGATAATCCCCTGACCTACCATTTTAGTGATCTAATAGTGCCGTCAGTGGCTGCTAGACGCCCATTAGATGGCGCGCGGCGCGGGCGGATGACTAGGGGAGAAAATGCGGAGAGTGAGAGAGAGCTCGCAGCCAGGTAGATAAAGATGTGCTCAGCCAAGCGGGGGTAAAGCCGTAGCGCGTAGCGGGGATGAGGGGATTTTGTGTCAGTGTGTGTGTGAGCTGTGAGGGGGAGGTGCACAAGACAAACAAACTATGATCGGAGATCGGCCGCCATAAAAATCTGCATGGAACCAGAAAACGATCAATGTGGAGTCATATGGCACTGCCACACAGCAGCCTCAATCAGTCTGACAGCCACACGATCGGAGAGGACCCACACCGCTCACACTCTCGCTGAAAATGTGCCAGGAGCGGCCTCATCGAGCCGACAAATAATTGCTCCTCTTGCCACTTCAAGAGAGAGCTGAGAGCCTCTCTCGTGCTGAGGACCTCCCATGAGGACCTCTGTCCGAGTCTCGGCCTGAGGACCTTTAGTGCGGACCTTTGTTGGTGCCTACACTCGACCGTCGATGTGGAATCGGATCAATGGGCAAACCAATAGCCATAGGTGAGCGACCGAGTAAAAAGCCCTGCGGCCTGCTTTGATCCGATATGTCGATATCTGCCGCCATAAAAATCTGCATGGAACCTTCAGAATGATCAATATGGAGTCATATGGGACTCCGTCTGTTGTACGATGGCGGTCACTGCGGTTTCTCTTTGACTGATTGACATCTCTTCGCCCGAGGACCTTCGCCTGAGGACCTCTCGCTCAGTCCGCCTGAGGACCTCTTGTCAATGTGCACCTTTCGGTGCCTGGCGCACACGATCGGAGAGGACCCACAAAAACCTCTCACATATGCTCGCAGGCTGTGAAGATGTGCCAGGAGCGGCCTCAGCGAGCCGACTAAATAGTTGATCCTCTTGCCACTTCAAGAGAGAGTGAGAGCCTCTCTCGTGCTGAGGACCTCCCATGAGGACCTCTGTCCGAGTCTCGGCCTGAGGACCTCTAGTGCGGACCTTTGTCGGTGCGCCCGCACTCTCGACCGTCGATGTGGAGTCGGATCGACGGGCAAACCAACAGCCATGAGCGACCGAGCAGTAGGTAGGCGGTGCCCTGCGGTGCCTGCTCTGATCCGCTATGATCGGAGATCGGCCGCCTGGCCATAAAAATCTGCATGGAACCGCAGAATGATCAATATGGAGTCATATGGTATTAGTTCTGTGCAGGAGAAGAGAAGCGAGGCAGATAGATAGATAGATAGGAAGGCGAAACACAGTCCGACCAACGACTGGGACACCAACGCGGTATGGGTGGACGCTAAGCGTGACGGTCACACAGGAGCGACACACAGAACCACAAGACAAGACATTCAGCCAACGGGGCGGCTGCCACACATCCTGATACAGTCGGGTGATGAGGAGTCAGGCCGCGTGGCGGGACGCACGTAAGATAATGAGGGGTCCCGTACCATGCGGAATCGACCCTATCCGGTGCTCAGGTGCTCAAGTATCATATGGGACTCCGTCTGTTGCGCGATGGCAGTCGCCACTGCGGTTTCTCTTTCATTGATGTCTCTTGCTGTAGATTTCACACCGAGGTCGCCCCGCGAGCGAACCCACTCGATTGCATCTGCGAGCCGCTTTTCGTGCGGCGCCTCTCCGTGTTGGTCTGGGCGCCTCTCGCCCGCGGTGCGACTCCATGGACACCAGCAGGACGACCCTCGGCAGCCCCGGTGCCCTCAAGTGGCTGCACACCCGCAGCGTCGGCGTCACCTTCCGCATCTACCGCGCCGAGTACCAACAGAGCCGCACTTACATCGTGCAGGCGCACCGAGCCTCTCCCTGCCTCGCCCAGTGACAGTGCCGCTCACCACCGCCCGTGTGTCATCGCAGTCTGCGGCTCTTCTCGCGTGCTCTCTCGGCATCTGCGGAGTGTGCATGCCCGCCGTGCCAGATGCGGAATCGCCACGATATCGCCACTACTCGTAGCCCTTGGCAATCCGGGTTGGTCAGATATGCAAGCACCGTCGTGCGGCCGTCTCGAGGGCTTACTGTCAACGTGGCGACACAGCTTTGCATCCGAGGCTCACCTTAACCTTCCACCCCGCAGGCTCGCGGCTCTGATTGCCACGCGGCAGCTGCAGACCGACCGCACAGCCCTCGGCCTCGACCTCGCCGCCTCGTCCCTCGATGGGTGTGAACGGCGCCTCGTCACGCCTCTAGCTGTGAGTAGGCCTCGACCTCGCCGCCTGGACGAGGAGGCTGTGGATGTGAACGGCGCCTCTTCACACCTCTAGCTGTGAACAGGCCTCGATCTCGCCACCTCCTCCCTCTACATCCTCTCGGCCCTCCTCTCGCTCGCCGTCGTGTGCGGCGGCGGCGGCGGCGGCCCAGGCGCCCGCGGCTCAGCCCGCGGCTCAGCCCACGTCCCGCCAGTTAGCTCACTAATCAATGAAGGGTTGATGGATTGAGTAATTAGGCGCCCGCGGCTCCGTCAACGGCCCGCGCCAGTCCATCTTCATCGACGAGGGCGAGGAGGGCGAGGGCGAGGAGGAGGAGGGCGAGGAGGAGGAGGGGGAGGGAGAGGCGATAGGCCGCGGCGTGTCGGCGAGCGATTGCGGCGAGAGCAGCAGCGAGCGGCGAAGCCGTGCAGCAGAAACCTTCTCTCTGGAACCTTCTCGGACCCTTCCCCTCCAGGCGAGAACAGCAGCGAGAACGGCAAAACCAGCGCCAATGGCGGCGGCGACGAGCCCCCGTCGCTGCTCGCGCGCGTCTCGAGGCGCGTCTCCGGCGCTGAATAGTCGACCCCATTCACAGCCTTGTTATGAGAAGAAAATACGTCCTATGGCGCTGTGCGCTGGTCTGTGAGAGGTTGAGGTGCGAGCCCTGGAGGCCCTGGGGATGGGGTGAGACTACCCGCGGGCCTAGAAGGCCCGCGCGCAGGGGGGTGGGGCATTGAGACCGGTTCACAGAGTCCATCATTCATGAGCAGCAATGCGTCATCGCAGGCGCTTCTCGACGCCGAATAGTCAACCATTCACGGAGTCCGCCACTCATGATTAGCAACTATTCCATCATCGCAGGCGCTTCTCCAAGCCGAATAGTCAACCATTCACGGAGTGAGAAAAGAGACGAGGACCACAAAGAGAAGGAGGACTGCGGGCGCCACGCCCGCGCCCCCAAGCCAGCTAGTCCACCACTCATGATTAGCATTTCTTCCATCATCTCAGGCGCTTCTCCAAGCCGGCGCCGAAGAGTCTCAACCATTCACAGAGTCCATGATTCATGACCATCGCAGGCGCTTCTCGAAGCCGGCGCTGACGCGCTTGGCCTCGAGCGGTATTGGAAGCCTCCTCTCCCTCGCGCAACAGCTGAGCGGAGGGGAGAGGGGCGAGGAGGGCAACAACGACAGCACCTGGCCGCACGAGGCGGCGAGAGAGATGATGATCGAGATGTAGCCGAGATGTAGCCGAGATGTACCCGAGATCTAGCCGAGGTGCTGGTGTGGCGGAGATGGAGTGCGCCTGCTCGGACGGCGCTCACGGCGAGTGCCCCATCTCCCACTCTCTTCTCTCTCCAACTGCCACTAGAATGGACACTGACCAGACGGCGCTCGAGGCCGGTGCCATCACACACACCTCTCTCGCCCCCTCCTCCCTCTCTCTCTCTCTCTCTCTCTCTCTCTCTCTCTCTCTCTCTCTCTCTCTCTCTCTCTCCTCTCTCCAACTGACCACTAGTTGACCAGGCGGCGCTCGAAGCTGGTGCCGACGGCGGCGGCGCTCTGTCGCGCGCGCCGACGGCGACCGCGCCGCTGGACAGGCGAGATCACTCGAGATCACTCGAGATCACACGAGATCACACGAGATCACCCGAGATCACACGAGATCACCCGAGAGCACCCGAGATCACCTCGAGATCAAACGCGAATACCGAGGAGCGATTCCACCTGCCTGCCTTCTGCGACAGGCGCGCCAAGGGCGTGTCGTTTGCGGACGGCGTCGACTTGTCCGAGGAGAGCCTCGCCCGTATGCTCACCTAGTAATTGACGGCAGCTGAGAGCCGCCCCATAGGAGTCGACTTCTCCGAGAAGAGCGTCGGCGCAGCCAGCCGCTCCTCCTCCTCCTCCCTAAAGAGGAAGGGGCGGCCCCCGCGGCTGCTGGTCAACGCTGAATGGGCAAGTAGTCATCGAGTCGATGAACGTTACCATAGGAAGGGGCGGCCTCGCGGCGGCTATCGAGCCTTAATTAATCAGTAGTAATCGAATTCATTAACTAGCAATAGGAGGGGGCGGCCGCGGCTCGCGGTCGTGCGGCTAGCGATGGTGTTCCTGGTGGGCACGGCCGTGTTCGCGATCGCCTCGGCGGCAGTCTGCGCCGCGTCGGTGCCGCGCTGCTACGAGCGGCCGCTGGCGATGCGAGGCGAGGAGTCAGTAGTTTGCAGTAGCAGCGGTAGGCTATTGGGCGGGCCGAGATGGGGCCCAAGGGTTGTGGGGTGCTACCTAGGCGATGAGTCGGATGACGAGACTACCCGCGACTACCCGAGATTACCCGAGACTACCCGAGATTACCCGAGACTACCCGCGACTACCCGAGATTACCCGAGACTACCCGAGATTACCCGAGACTACCCGAGATTACCCGAGATTACCCGAGATTACCCGAGATTACCCGAGACTAGGCGAGACTGAAAGAGACTACCCGAGATTACCCGAGACTACCCGAGACTAGGCGATGAGTCGGACGACGAGATCGACCGCCTGGCGCGCGGCACAGCGGCCTTCTCGCGCTGCTCCGAGCAGTGCATGCGCGGCCAGATGGAGCTGGGGCGGTCGGACCTCAACACCGCCAGCTGGGCAAAGGTCAGTTCACTATTAGTTGATAACTAGTGTCATTATGAGTAAGTGCAGCAGGGCGGTCGGACCTCAACACCGCCAGCTGGGCAAGTAAGTGCAGCGGGGCGGTCGGACCTCAACACCGCCAGCTGGGCAAAGGTGACGATGCTGGGCGCGCTGTTCAAGACGGCGGAGGATTGCAACTCCGACTTTGAGGCGAATGGGCTGCCTGCCCCGGGCGCCGACGGCGCCGGCTGGCTCCCGGCGCCGCACACTTGCCAGATTGCCGGAGATCACACAGGACTGTCTGCGAGATTAGGCACCGGCTGGCTCCCCGCGCCTCTGCGCGCGATCCCGACAGGCGCTGGCGGAGGTTGGCAGCGCGGCGGTGTGAACGGCGTCTCGTCACGCGCAGGGCTGTGGACAGGCGCGGCGCTGGTGGAGCTCGGCATGAAGTGCGGCGTCGAGGCGCGGCAGCGCGGTTGCGATGTCAACACGTTTGGAAAGCGGGGCCCAGATGCGGAATAGTTGCACGCATTCTTGCATTCCAACCAGCGCTCGAGAGGACACTACCGAGCTGTATTCGACCGTATTCGACCGTATCCAACGTCGTTCGCTGTATTCGTACCCCTCGTATTCACACGGTGCTCTAACGACTCTGCCCAATACTGCCTTCCCGCCCCCTGACGTCGGTGTGTTCTTGACGTAGGAAGCGGGAGCATGCTGGCGACGGCGGTCGGCATGGCGTGGCTGCAGGTGTGCCTGGTGCTGGTGCTGAGACACTCCTCCTGAGAGGCGGAGAGAGGCGGCGGTCATTCGCAGGAGAAGGCGCGCCGGGATATACACATTGGCGATGGCTGAGACGGCCGCAGCGGCCGCGGGCCGGCCCCTGAAACGTGAAAGCCCTGGGAACGCTGACCCCTGTCGCGCATTGTGCGCATGCATGCATGGCCCAGATGGATGGAGCATGCATGCAAAATGAGAGATTTTTATGACTAGGATGAGGACAAAAAAGAGGCACATGTGAGTACTACCGTACGCTCGTGTAGAGCACCCTAGACAGAACGTGGGCCCCGCCAGGCTGAGCCTGGGAGGCAGTGGGGCCGCCGCGCTGCGCGCGCGCAAGAGCAGCCCCCTCTATGTGCGAGCTAGGACGGCGGCACGGCGCCACTGCGCGGCAGCGTCAGCAGTAGACGTAGCAGTCCCAGCGGCTGGGCTGCTGGCCGGGAACAGTGTCGCTGCTGCAGCCGCAGGCGACGAAGTTCTCGAGGCGGTCGAGCCATGTCGGGCTGCGGTTGGGGTCTGCTAGCAGCGCTGCCGGGCTTACTCTCAGCGCCCTCGCCTTGGGTGCGTACTCGAGGCAGCCCTCACTATCCGCGTACGAGCGCCTCGCCTCCTCCTGAACCGCGCGCTCAAAGTCCTGCCGCTCCGCCAGCGTCATGCGCGGGTGCCATACAAAGGTTCGCCTGCGCCGGAGGCGAGAATCGTGACTGCGGCAGCAGTGAAGTCAAGCTGCAGCGGCGGTGGGAGCGCTCGACGTCGCGTCTGCAGTATCCCACTAGAGGCTTGGGTCCAGTGGCACGGCACACCGTATGGCGTCGAGGCTCTCGTACGAGCTCGGCCGCGTAAGCTTCATCGGCGAGTTGCTGACGCTGTCGCACCGCGAGATGCCGAGCGCCTCGCGCGAGCCGTCGCTGAGGTGCGAGTGGATGCTGCTGGTGCGGGAGGGGGGCTGCGCCTCGCCGAGGGCCAGGACGTCGGCTCGCGGAGTGGTCACGGTCGCAGGAGCAGTCACCACCATCCTAGATGCGCGAGCGCTGATGAAGAGACACGGAGACGTCTCCCCGAAGTTTCGAATTCTTTTTGTTAACTGACCAGTGCGCGCCAGTCCCGTGCCCAGTGTGGTGCGAGGGAATTTCGTTGTAGATTGGGATATCTCCGAGGAACTGCCAACAACATACCTAAAACAAGACAAGAAGGCCGAGGCTGAGGAAGCAATCGGCGAGATGCGCACTTACCAACGTACCTCACAAATCTCTGTCCAACTCATACACACACATACCGTGTTCGTGTGTCCGCTCTCTGTTTGTTGGGGGGGGGGGGCACCATCCCACCGTCAGAAAACACGCCTGCGTGGTCGAATTAAGGTCCTACGGCTGTGTCGAACTCTAGCCGGAACATCATCGCGTTGCGAGACCGTGTCGCCGACATGCCTCGCAAATCTCTCCCCAACTCACATCCCAGATGGTGTTCTTATGTGTCCTCTGTTTGGGTGTGTGTCTGGCTGGGGGGGCTGGCTACCACCGCTACCGATAACGCTACCGCTGCGTCCCACCGCGTGTGCACCGGCCAAGCACGGCCACATAGCAGCCTCAGGCCAGTCTTTGACTGATTGCCACTTCAATGAGAGGAGGGTGGGGGGGCGAGCTCTCCGCTGAGGACCTCTCATGAGGACCTCTGTCTGAGCTCTGAGGACCTCTCGATCGTGAGGACCTCTCCCGACTTTTCGTTGGTGTGAATGTGATAGTGAGTGACCAACTGCACTACAACCAATAAATCTGTTCATTCTTATTGCACGTCGCCATCCCGCTCACATCTCCCCGCCTTGCCCCGCTTTTCGAATTTCTTTTTTATATGTGGCAGGTTTTTGGATGGATAGACACCTTGTTGGTGAAGCACTCGGCGAGTGCACTTACCAACCTCACAAATCTCTCTCCAACAGTATACACACTGTGTTCTTACTTATGTCGTCGTTGTTCACTCGAGTGCTGGTGCGCACACCAAACAACCAATAAATGTATTCATTCTGGTTACACGTCGCCATCCCACTCATTCAGAGGGTTGCGTGTTTGCTTGGGTGTGTGGCCGGGACTCGTGATCACCTCCGCTGCGTCCCACCGCGCGTGCAGCGGCCTGCCTGCCACATATTTGCCTAGTTCAGTCTGTCGGATTGCCGCTTCGATGAGAGAGGGGTGAGAGGCCCACGCTGAGGACCTCTCGTGAGGACCTCTCGTGAGGACCTCGCGTGAGGACCTCTCGTGAGGACCATCCTCTCGCGAGCCTCTTTGAATGCTTGGGTGGGAGAGAGGAAGGTGCTCACGACATCAACCCTGCTTTGGCACGCCGCTCACTCGCCATGGTTTCTGCGTCAATCATGGGCCGCTGAGCGCAAAGCTCTCGCCTGTCACGGGTCTGCACAGGAATTAATCAAACATTTTCTCTCGGGAATGGGACTGTTACCAACAGGAAGTGTGCCCCCCGCAAGGCGCGCGATACACAGTGTGTTTCCGTATTGCAGAGGTGGGGGAGTAACTTGCGGGCGACGGAGCCATCTTGTTTTTGAAATCCCTTCTATTTTCTTTTTTCGGCAATCGAGAGCGTCGGAAATCGAAATTCTTTTTTCCGCGATGGCCGGCTCCAACCTCACACTCCGCATTGTGTGTCCAGGACTCTATAGAGAGGCGGGCAACGGAAGTCGCACCTCTCGGACGGTATGCCCCGTCACGGTTGGGCTCTTTAAGGCCGTCACACCGAAGGTCCACATTAACAAGAGGTCCTCAGCCTACAGGCGGACTGAGCAAAAGTCCTCAGGCGAAGGTCCTCACGAAAGAGGTCCTCAGCACGAGTCAGAGACGGTCTCAAGCAAGTGTAGTCTGTGGCTGTCGGACTGACTGAGGCTGCTATGTGGCAGCGCTATAGGCCGCTGCACGCGCGGTGGGACGCAGCGGAGGGTGACCGGCCTCAGCGTGACACACCCAAACAGAGTAACCCTCAAACACTCGGGATGTGGACGGTACGTGGTAAGATGTGATATGTGGGTGGTATTTTGGTTGCATGGAATGTGCGTAGCTTGCTGGCGCCGCCATTTCTTTTTTGTGAATGTTATATGCCAGCTTGCCGACGCGACGCTCCCTCGTCTCGGCGGCAGCGCTTCTTTCAGCGCCTCGTTTCCCAGCGCACGCGACATCGCGCTGGTCGCTCCCAAACGGTGAGGTCTCGCTTCGAGAGCCTACCTTCGCCTGCGGCGGCAGCAGCTACGAGGCGCCTATCCTTCATCTCGGCGCTGGCGGCTCTGGCGCGGCGCTCTCGGTATCACCATAGCAGGGCACTCCCATAGCACAGCCTCTCCCCGACACTTCGTGGGTGTGAATGTGAATAGTGAAGAAGTGAACCAATGAAGTGCTCCTCGCACTACTACACTCAAATGAAACCGCACTTACAAACTTATGCAAATCTCTCTCCAACTCATTTCACATGCTGTGTCCTTGTGCACTCTCTGGCTGTCTGAAGGGGGGGGGGGGGGCTGGCCACCGGCCAAGCATGGCCACATAGCAGCCTCAAGTCAGTCTTTGTCTGATTGCCACTTCAGTGAGAGGAAGGGGGGGCGAGCTCTCCGCTGAGGACCTCTCATGAGGACCTCTCGCCTGGCTGTGTAAGGACCTCTGTCTCTCGCGAAGACCGTTCGCGGCAACCCACTCTCTCCACTGCCCCATGCGGGCCCCATGCGGGGAGGAGGCCGCTCGAGCCTGCCGGCGTTGCGCAGGACAAACAGATCGCCCGGCCGCATGTCGAAGAGCATCTCGATCGGCGCGCGCGAGTCGGCACAGCCGATGATGACGGAGACGGGGTTCTGCCCGCTCTCGCACAGCTTGCACAGCAGCTTCTGGTCGCCGGAGAATTGGTTGTAGCCGCCCTTACCGCTCGCGTAGCGCAGGTTGCCCGCATAGAGCATGGCGGCGGCCTCGGCGGCCGGCACCGGCGCATCCTCCGCCGTCCGCACCACGTCGCCGCTCGGCGTGGACTTGACAAGCTCCGCCAGCGAAGGGTGCTGCCCCATCAGCTGCACCGCTCCCGACGACACGTCGAGCAGCGCCCCCACGACACGCAGACGGCCGTCGGCGGCGGCCTCGTTGATCGTCTTGCTGCTCGAGAGCAGCGTCTCCACCGTGCGCCACACGTTCATCTCGCAAGCGAGCGCGAGGACCTGTGCGTGCAATGCGGCGTGGGCGGATGCGGTCGGGGGATAGAGCCTACCTCACGTCCCGGCTGTGACTCGCGCACCTCCTCGTACGTCCCGTTCGGCTGCCGCTGCATCGCATCCTGTACCGCCGGAATCACCATCTCTCTCTCTCTCTCTCTCTCTCTCTCTCTCTCTCTCTCTCTCTCTCTCTCTCTCTCTCTCTCTCTCTCTCTCTCTCTCTCTCTCTCTCTCTCTCTCTCTCTCTGCCGCGTAATAAGTAGTTGAAGTGGGTGCGCTGCCGCGAAGGGTCCTTGTTCGACAGAGAGGTCCTCTGCCAGGCGAGTCAGTCCTCAAGGGACGGAAGCAGGCAAGATTGCCAGCTGCCGCCACACTGGTCACTGCACTGCACCGTCTAGCCGCGACGGCTGTGTTGACTGTTGTGTGTGGAGCTTGTGCCCCACCACTGTTTGTGTCGCCTACTGCATGTGTACTATGTTTGTGCGTAGAAGGTAGAACACTGTTTACGACTAACATATGGTCTCTTGGGACAAAAACATCCACCGCGCACAGCCCACACGTGTCAAACACAGCCTATATATAAGGGGGGTCGCCCCCCCTTGCCCCACCACCTCGTGTGTGTGCAGAAGTTTACCTTACCTTACCTTACCCAGCCTACTGTACAGCCACAGACCTAGGCCCGGCAAATTTACGTGGCTGGGTTCACAGCGATTGTAGGAAAATGTCGGGACCAAATCACGGTCGCGGCCTTCCGACTCGCGCCTCCGCCTCACTGGCACTATTGTAGCCCTGGCCGGTGCGCGTGCGGAGTTGAAGTTCCCGAGTAAAAATTCGAACGCGTTCTCTCACGGTGACCAAAAAATGTCCACCTCAGAGGCACCTCCGGAGGCAGGCCGCCGCACGCCGGCGACACAGCTCCAGCTGTCGAACTGACCCGCAGCTCCTCTCAGAGCGAGAACTGTGACGAAAGTCGACTGAGGCGGTTGTCAGGAATCATCATACGGATCACATGGTGGCTCTCTCATGACGGGAGACCGACCGACCACTCCTGGGTGGCACTTCCACCGGTGTCGCTCGACGTCCTGTCGACAGCGTGCCGACAGCGACACAGATCATGTGGTACGCATCGAGTATCGACCTCTACTGCTTACCCAGCCTTCGGTTGTATCCTGGCTGTGGTCCCACACCCACTGGTGTCCATCTCAGAGTGTGGAGAAATGTACCTTACCTTACTACCTTGACGCGGCTCTGCCAGGCTAGATTGCAGTTGCCTCATGTGTGGGCTAATCCTTCATCCGTCCTCCTCCTGCAGCTCGCGCGGCAGCCGCCAGACACGCGCGACGCCATGGTCCGGGTACGCGATCTCGACCAGCTCGGCGTGGCCCGCCTGTTCACACCGGGGGCCGTGAAGAGGTCGATGAAGGAGCCTCGCTCTTGAGACTCGTTCTGCTGCCGCTGCACAGCGACGCCTCTCCCCGCCACCGCTCCCCGCCACCGCTCCCCGCCACCGCTACCGCTCCCCGCTACCGCTCCCCGCCATCGTGTTCACCGCCTCGGCACACCGCCACCGCTCACCGCCAACGCACGCCGCAAAGGCCGCCGCCACCTCGCCCGCCGCCGCCGTCGCCGCCACATCTCGGCCGCCTCTAGGCTGCCACGATCCTCGGTTGTATCTCGGCTGTATCTCGGCTGCATCTCGCCGATCTCGCGCCTGGTGCGGGGGTATGTAGGCGGGCCGCTCGAGCGCCTAATGAGTAATTAATCAACCCCCCTAATTAATGAATGAATTCGCCCAGAGCGGGAGGGTGGCCGGCCGCTCGAGCGCCGCCGGAGGGTGTGGGTCGTACCTGCAGACATGGGGAGATATGGGGAGATGTGGGGAGATATGGGGAGATATGGGGAGATGTGGGGAGGTGTGGGGAGATGTGGGGAGATGTGGGGAGATGTGGGGAGGTATGGGGAGATATGGGGAGATGTGGGGAGGTATGGGGAGATATGGGGAGATGTGGGGAGGTATGGGGAGATGTGGGGAGATGTGGGGAGGTATGGGGAGATATGGGGAGATGTGGGGAGGTATGGGGAGATACGAGGGTGCAGGTCTTCCTGTGCAGGGAGACGCTGGTGCGCGGTCAGGTGCGGCCAAGGTCTCCGCACACACAAGGTGGTGGGGCAAGGGCCAGGCTAGTCCCTCGCGACTCCACGTCTAAAAGACGGGTGCGAGGCCCAGAGCGCGTGGGTGAGCGGCGTGAGCGTGTCGGACTCCCAATCTCAGCGGCGCGTGGGGCGGCGGGGCGCACGGCCATGTGCCCACGGCATTCAAAGTGCAAGGCCCGGTGCGCGTGCGGACGCGGTGTGTACGTGTCTGTCGGCTCACGGGGCGGCGGGGTTCATAAAGCGTCACGGAGGCGTGATCCGGGAGGCGTGATCCGGGAGGCGGGGCAGACTTCACACCGCTGAATGATGCCGCCGTCGCGCGTGAAACCTGTCCACAGCCAAGAGTCGTGACGAGAATACGTGCATAAAGAGGACCGTAGCCGCGCCCTCGTCTGTGAGAGACCGAGCGAGCGGGGCGACGCAGGCGCCTAAAAGTACGGGAGCTAGTTATGAAGAGGTAGAGCTCTTCGAAGTCGGGCGAGGTGAGCGAGGCTGGCGCCTAAAACAGTAAGCCGGCTAGGATCAAGATTGAGTACTGTGAAGTCGGGCGAGGTGAGTGAGGCTGGCGCCTAAAACAGTCAGCCGGCTAGGATCAAGATTGAGTACTGTGAAGTCGGGCGAGGTAAGTGAGGCTGGCGCCTAACGAAGGAGGCTGTGAGTAACGAAACAAGCGTGAAGCCGGGCGGACGACGCGAGGCCGGCGCCGCCGCCGGCCCGTCGGATGGCGCCTAATTGAGTAATTCATCAACCCTTAATTAACGAATTAATTGGCTAATAGCGGCCCATCTGATGGCGCCGCCGCGCTGACGACGAGCGATCGCACGTCAACGCGGCAGAGCGGGCAGTGCACCGACGCCGCGAGAGCACCGCGCACGCACTCCGAGTGAAAGGCGTGCGCTGCTGCACACGGCAGCGCCTATAGGCAAGGTACGGTGCGGCAAGCTTCTCCACACACACGAGGGTGGTGGGGCGAGGGCCAGGCTAGTCCCTCGCGACTCCGCGTCTAGACAGGCAGGAGCTGGCACGGCATCAACTAATGAGGGGTGCAAGGCGGGGACACCACATGGCCGGGGTGCGGTGCGTCCCACTACCATCTCGTCTGAGTTTGACGGCTGTACGTACTTTGCTTGGCGACGTGTACTCTCGGGTGAGCTCGGGTGAGCTCGGGTCATCTCGGGTAATCTCGGGCCATCTCGCCGTGAGCTGCTGGCCGGACTCAAACTCGCAGAGGCAGATGGCGCACTCGGAGCGCGCGCTCGAGTCGGCCGCCGCGCCACTGAGCTCGAAGGGGAAGGAGCGCAGCTGCGAGATCTCGGCGGCGGTGAACCGAGGCACCTGATGGCAGCGTCTCGCTGTGTTCCTCTGTGCTAGCTCGTCTGTGAGACTGGCCGACGGACCACGGCCGCATCCGCCGGCTCCGAGCGAGAGCGTCGCTCGTCGAGCCGCCGGAAGTAGTCCTCGAGATCGTCGCGCACGGCGGGTGGCGGGTGGCGAGGCGGCAGCGGCGCGTCGTCGTCATCCGAGGAGGAGGAGGAGCCGATGTGGTCGAAACGGGAGTAGTCCATGGCGACGGCCCCGACAGCCGGCCCGACAGCAATGGATTCCTTCGCGTACGGTACCCCGAGGACCCGCTCTTTCCCCTTCCCCCCTCGGCTCTGCAAGGGGCCCCTCCCTCCTCTCGCCCGCCTTCATAGCGCGAGAGGGTCTCGAAGAAGAGGAGGTAGTTGAATTGAGAAATGCGCTCCTCTTGCGAGACAAACAAATCGGCCACGAGGCCTGGGCGGCCGCCGCGCTCGGCGGCGGCCGCGCCTGACATGCGTGGTGAGGGGGGAGGTGCTGCTCCCTACCCCCCTCCCCCACACACACCCCACAAAACACCACAGACAGCACTCCACACACACCATGCATGGACGGCGGAGGGTACGACGACGGACACACTCGCAAGACTCCAACAGATAACAGAACACAGCAGCAGCAGCCTGACAGCTCTGACAGCTCCGACAGCGTCTGACAGCAACACCCGACAGCTCCGACAGCACCTGACAGCTACAGATCCCCTCTGATGTCAGACACGCACCCGACAGCACCTGACAGCACTGACAGCACCCGACAGCTGGTCTGACAGAGGCACCTGACAGCGCCTGACAGCTGCCCGACAGCCTGACAGATCACCTGACAGCACCTGACAGCCTGACAGCCAGGGCTCAGACTGTTGTTCATCTTTCTACATACATACATGCTGTTTGGGGGTAGGGTAGTGTCATTGCAGACCCCCGACCCCCCTAACCCCCGGCACACATGCAGGCATAGCGCCTACCCCCTTGCCTACCCCCCTACTCACAGGTCTCCAGATTGCTGTAAACGGTAGTTTTGTCGGACAGCGTCAGCCGTCACCTCACGCCCTGCCGCCCCTCCGCGCGCCCGCGCACCCCCTACCCCCAGGTGCCTCCAGAAGCCGTAACGTCACCTCACGCTGCCCCTCCGCGCGCCCGCCGCCCGCGTCTCATGCAGGTCCGCCGTCGGTCGTTGTAGCTTGGGATGTCCGTTATATTTATTTATTTATTGGATGTGAGGCTGCCGACTGCACTCCAAGTGCTCCAAGTGCTCTCGCACAGCACACAGGTTCAACACAGATACCCAAAGAGGCACAGCCGGCGACGGACCTTTAGAAGGCGCCGTCGTCCTCATAGAGGTGGGCACGATCTGGGGGGCAGTCGAATCCGCGAGCACCGCAGTGCTCGCCGAAAAGACCATCCCCATCATCCCACCCACCCCGGCGACCCCCTCGCCGCTTGCCCCGCCAGCGGGCACTGCGCGACCCACCCCCGCGCCGAATTAAAAGAAACTTGGAGAAGTCTGTGATCTGTGATCTGTAAGGGTCCGCCCGCAGGCGCATTTTGTATACCGAGGCGGTGCCCGGTGCCGAACCTGTCGGACCTTAAGACAGCATTGTAGATCCCTGGGCGAGGGTGGTGGCTCGCGGAGCCGAGCCACGCGTCACGCAGTAGCCCTGAGGTGCCCTGAGCACACATGCGAGCGCCCATGGAAGAACTCGGGGACGCGCCACCGGCCCGACAGCAGCACAGACCGTACACAGCCGTGCAGCCTCTTTCTTGCGCCCCATGAGGGTATAACAAAAATGCAAAGACATGCACATATGAGTGTGGTGCATGCACATGTACATGTGAGTCATGGGCTGGTCATGGGTCTCTCTCTCTCAACCCTCCGTGTCCCTCCCGCCCCACCTCTGCGGACCCCTCTCTAGCACCGGCGGCTGTGCTACTACAAATGAAGCTACCAGCTAGCCTTCTGGGGCCCTACAGTCATATGCCTACGGCGTCTGGGTGGGGGTGGCCGCCGCCGTCTGTGCCGCGCTGCCGCCGCCGCCGCCTGCGCCTGCGCCGCCATTTGCGCTCCCCAGGCGGGACCCCTTGCTTCGGCAGAGTAGAGACTAGAGTAAAGCCGTAGTCCTGCTGGTCTTGATAATGTCATAAGTGTGGATGGTGTGTCAGAGCCTGACAGCACCCCGACAGCACCAACCGACAGCACCTGACAGCTCCGGCGTCTCTGACAGCAGCAGCAGCCCGACAGCTCTGACAGCTCCGACAGCATCTGACAGCAACACCCGACAGCTCCGACAGCACCCGACAGCTACGGAGCCCCTCTGATGTCAGACAAGCACCCGACAGCACCCGACAGCACTGACAGCACCTGACAGCTGGTCTGACAGAGGCACCTGACAGTGCCTGACAGTGCCTGACAGCCTGACAGATCACCTGACAGCACCTGACAGCCTGCGGAGCACCTGACTGTCAGTCGCAGACTGTCAGTTGCTCCAACTCTCCCCCGTCGTCTGCCTTGCGTCGTCTGGCGACGGGTCTCCGCCTCCATATACACCATAGTCGTTAGTCGGAGGGTTCGTCTTCGTGTGCGATCGGGATCGCCGCCCACCGGTGCACCGCCCACCGGCCCAGCGCCCTCCGGCGTCCGCTCGTGCCTCTTCCAAACGTTCCCTCGCGGTGGCCGACGATGCCGTCTGCTCCGACTTCCCCTTCCCCGGGAGACCTCGCGAGACCAGAGGCATCCGATTTTTCCATTAGCTGCGCGAACTCACCCGAGGAACGGATCGTCCGACCAAAGACCCCGGTGGCCCGCTCCCCCCGCCTCCGCCTTCTCTCGCGAGAACCCGCCCTCAGCCTACCCTTGGCGGCGGCAGGGTATCGCGCGAGAGCCCCAGTGGCGCCGCGTCGGAAGGCACCGCCGGCGGGGGGTAGGCCTTCTCCGGCTCGCGCCGCCACAAGTAGCCGCACTCCAGCAGCCACTCGAGCCCGACGACGGCCTTGCCGCGCGAGGCGGCCCAGCGCGCCTTGTCGGTCCCCGCGGCGCCGGCCACCACGTGAGTCACCGCGTCGGTGGCGGTGGCCGAGACGGCCGCGCCGAGCTCGACGGCGAGCCGCCACGCGTAGTGGCGCTCGGCCGTCTCCCCGAGCGGGATCACGCGCGTGAAGAGCACGCACACTCCGGCCAGCACTCGCCGCCGCACCGCCGCCACCGCCGCGTCGACGCCCGGCCGCGCCGCCGCGCCGCCCGGCGGGGCGGCGGCGCGGCGGTCGACCCGCTCAAAGTAGGCGGCGTGGATCGCCGTCAGCGCGCGCTGCAGCGCCGCGAGCTGCCCGCGCTCCGCAGACTCGTCCTGCAAAAGAAGCACGCCAAACCTCACACGAAATACGTCGGCGAGAGCTGCCCGCGCTCCGCAGACGCGTCCTTGCCGCGGGAGAGCAGCCCTCGCGGCGGCCCCCGCGATCGGTCGGTGCTGCGGTCGCGGGCGGCGGACGCGTCGAAGAAGTGGTAGCGCCGCGGGACGAGCAGCTGCGGCGCGTGCCTACAAAAAGGAACGCAGCGCGCAAAAGAAACCGCTGCGACAAAGAAGAAGTGCGCGGGGGAGGGAGGGGGAGGGAGGGAGGGAGGGAGGGAGGGAGGGGGGGAGGGAGGGAGGGAGGGAGGGAGGGAGGGAGGGAGGGAGGGAGGGAGGGAGGGGGGGAGGGAGGGAGGCGCGTGCTTCGGCCACACTGCGGCCGAATCGTCCACGATGAGGATGGTGTCTTCGGCGCCTAGAGCCCCCCACATCTCCCCATCTCTCCCGCTAGACCTCCCCACAGGGGGGCCGTCTCGCGCTATATCTCCCCACATCTCCCCACATCTCCCGCTATCTCGCGCAAGGAGGGTGGCACGCCAGCCGGCCACTCGGCGCTGCCTGCCCGACCACTCGGTCTCTGCCCGCCGGCCCGTCCTCTCGACTACGCTGCCCGCGGCGTGCGGTCTGGGCGCGGGTGTGTGTGTGTGTGTGTGTGTGTGTGTGTGTGTGTGTGTGTGTGTGTGTGTGTGTGTGTGTGTGTGTGTGTCTTTTTGCGTCTCTTCGGCGCCGAGCACGATGTCGAGCCCCTTCTGCCCGCCTCGCGAGGTCGCGTCTTCGGCCGCGATGACGCGGTCCTAGGGACGGGGAGACTGCTTCTCGGAGATTGTCTCTCGCGAGGCCGCGTCTTTGGCCGCGATGCCGCGCTCCTTGCCGCGCAAGCCGAGCGACCTGGAGGAGGGCGGCGGGCCGCCAACGTCGGCCAGTGCGTCCGTGGGTGGCGCACTGGCGCACACGTCCGTAGCAAGGGGGCATCCCTCCCCAGATCTCCCCCGATCTCCCCCCTAGCAAGGGCGACGGGGCGCACGCGCACTCGCGGAGCACACGCGCGGGGGCGTGACACGCGAGGCGGTGTGTGTGTGGCACCTCGGGGAGAGGCATCCCCACCACGTCAAGCGCGACGCCGGTCTCGAGCAGTGTCGCGTGAGCGTCGCGGGAGAGGTGGTGGGAGAGAGGGGGTGGTGAGGTCAAGCGTCGCCACACACACACACACACGAGGTGGGCGGGGCTACGGCCAGGCTAGTCCCTCCCGACTCCACGCGCAGGCGGGCGGGTGAGCACACGGCGGGGGCAGGATTCGGGGACTGGGTGGGTAGGGCACCCGTCGGCGTCGAGCAGCTCCACCACCTCGGCCGCATACCTGCGCGCAGGCAGGCGGGTGGGTGTTAGCTCACTCGCTCACACTGTCTGGGCAGAGACAAGGAGTGCCGCCGCACACCACACGAACCCACACAGAGAGAGAGAGAGAGGGACGGGTGCGCGCGTTGGGCATCAGAGAGCCACGAGGTGTCCGTTGTTGTCTGGCTTGCGCACCCGCGAGCGATTAGGCCACTGGGGGGGCGGGGGGGGCATACCTGCGCGCCCCCATCGTGTAGACGTACAGCTCGAACCGCTGCACCAGCTGCCGCAAGAAGGGGTGCAGGCCGGGCCGCAGCTTTGTCCAGAGCCTGAGGACGAGGGGCGGCTGCCAGTATGTCGAGACCTCAGACTGCGGACAAGGACGGTGTCGTGCAGCGTAGCTCCGAGCGGCGCGCGAGTGCGGCGGAGAAGAGTGCAGCCGCTGCAGCCGGACCACGGTGTCGAGAGCAGTGGAGTGTGTGTCCGCTCGAGCGCCAGTTGGAGGCCACGAGCGCGTGCTCCCCTTCTCTAGGGGGGAGTACCCGAGTCGGGGAAGCCAGTGCAGCGACGGCGAGCCGCCGACACCCGTGGCGTGGAGGACGCCGTTGTTGGCGCTCTGCCCCTCCGCCCCAGCCCCCTCCGCCACCGCCCCCTCCGCCACCGCCACCGCCGCCACCGCCTCCGCCGCCACCGCCTCCGCCGCCACCGCCTCCGCCGCCACCGCCTCCGCCGCCGCACCTGGCGACCCTGCCGCCGCCGCCGCCGCCGCCGCCGCCGCCGCCCCTGCCGCCGCCGCCTCCCCTGTCGCCTCCGCCTCCTCTGCCGGCCCCCCTGCCGCCTCGGCCGCCGCCTTCCCCGCCGCCTCTTGCACCGCCTCCTCCTCCGACCCTGCCCCCTCCTCCTCCTCCTCCTCCTCTTCTATCAGGTCCTCCTCCGAGATCGCCTCCGAGGTCGCACCGCCGCCACTGCCGCTGCTGCCGCCGCCGCCGCTGCAACCGCCGCCGCCAGCGCTGCCGCCACCACCGCCGCCTCCCGTTGGCGGCTTCTCTGCTGGCGGCGGCTTGGTCCAGATCGGGACGTTTGCGGCGGCGGCGACGGCGTCGGCTTGCTCAGTCGAGAGCTCCTGCGGCGAGGATGGCGGAGATGTGGCCGCGGGGTGAGGCCGAGGCGGCTGAGATATGGCCGAGGTACGGCCGAGGTATGGCCGAGGTACGGCCGAGGTATGGCCGAGGCATGGCCGGGACAGGTTAAGCAGTGCGGACCTAGCGGAGGAGTGGCTAGGTCGAGAGGAGAAGAGAAGCTGAGGGGAGCTGAGACGAGCTGAGACGAGCCGAGAAGAGTCGAGTCTAGCCGAGTCTAGCCGAGCCGAGCCGAGATGCGCCGAGGTGCAGTGAGCTCCTGCAGTGTCGCCGAGTTGAGCAGCGTGTGGTCGAGGTCGAGGACGAGGACGAGCCTAGAAGGTTCCTAGAAGGTTCCTAGAAGGTTCCTAGAGTCTGCGAGCTCGAGGACAAGGACGAGCTTGCGCGAGGCGAGCAGCGCGGCGCGCTCCTCGTCCTTGAGCCTGCGCACCTCCACCGCCGACAGCTGCACCCCGTCGTACGTCCCGTACGAGAACTGCACGAGCGACCCGCGCCGCCGCCGCTCTTCGCGCGCCGCCGCGCCGCCGCCGCCGCCGCCGCCGCCGCCGCCGCCGCCGCCGCCGCCCTCGGCGACGCTTCCCGTCACGATGTTCATGCCCCAGAGGTACCCAACCTCCTCCTCCCCGTCCTCGGCGTCCGCCGCCCACGCCCTCTCCCACTCGTCCTCTTCGTCGGCCTCGACTGCTGCTGCGGCCGCAGCCGGCGCAGGAGCCGCCGGCAGGGCGCCGAGCGAGACGCCGGCCGCACCGGGACGGTGCGGACGGCGGACAGCTCGGCGCTTCGGCCCGGGCTGCATATGCGCGTCGGTGCGTTGTCGGACTGAGCCGCGCGTGGCGGCGAGCCGCGAGCCGCGAGCGGCACGCCTTTCGAAAGAATTTCACAGAAAGAATTTTTCACGCAAAGAATTTCAACCGGGCGAGCGGACTCAGCCGGTTGTCGGACTCAGCCGCGCTTAAAAGAATTTGGAGCATGTGTGTGTTCTTTTTGCTTGGGGCGGCCCTCATGATGAAATTCTGGAAAAACACGGCCGGCCTCTCCCCTCGCGGTCCCTCCCTCCCTCCCTCCCTCCCTCCCTCCCTACCTCCCTCCCTCCCTCCCTCCCCCGCGCACTTCTTCTTTGTCGCAGCGGTTTCTTTTGAGCGCTGCGTTTCTTTTTGTAGGCACGCGCCGCAGCTGCTCGTCCCGCGGCGCTACCATTTCTTCGACTCGTCCGCCGCCCGCGACCGCAACACCGACCGATCGCGGGGGCCGCCGCGAGGGCTGCTCTCCCGCGGCAAGGACGCGTCTGCGGAGCGCGGGCAGCTCTGGCCGACGTGTTTCGTTTGAGCATTGGTCTGCTTCTTTTGCAGGACGAGTCTGCGGAGCGCGGGCAGCTCGCGGCGCTGCAGCGCGCGCTGACGGCGATCCACATCCTGGATTGGTGCTCGCCGGCGTGAGTTCATACAGCGCTGCGAGCTGGCCTAAGGCCGGACCTTACGACGGTCCAGCGCTGGGCAGCGTGATGGCTCCTACTCGAGGCGCGACATGAGTGTACGAGGACCTCAACGCCTCGGTTTGGCGAACCAGCATGAGGAGCAGAGCCGCTGTAGCTCCTCCCTGCAGCTTGCGCGTCGCGTTTTGGCCAACGTCCCACCCACCGCGCATACTGCGGCGGCTCTCCGGCTCAAGAAGGCTGCGCTCGACCACCACATCGCCCGAGTCAGTGGTCCGGACGCCCCGCTGAGCCTCGCGCCGCAGTGCAGCCAGTTTGCGCGGCCGTGATGCGCGAATCGAACCGGTGCGATGTTGCTCGGCACTCTAGATGGCCTGAACATGCTTGCGTTCAAGTCTCGAGGTCTGCGCTTAAACTTGAAAATTTAATAAAATCGGGTCCGACCGGCCTCATGGCCGTGGTGAGTGACCTCACCGCCCTGTGGCTCTGGGCAGCTGCTGCTCGTCGGCGAGCCGACGAGAAGGAGCCTGCGCGCGGCCAGCGACGGCGGGTGGGGGGGCAGGGGCGCGGCAGGGAACGAGGGGCGGGAGGGCGTTCCAGGTCCGAGGGCGGCCCGGCGCGGCAAGATGTTGCGCCCAAGTTCGAGGCGGGCGCTCGATCGCGTCTCTCTCAGCCTCGCTCTGGGCGCGCGGCTACCGCAGAGCGAGGCGCCCAGCGCACGACGGCGGCGACGGGGGCGGCGGAGGTTCTGGCCGAGAGGGCGCGTGCTGAGTCTTTGGCGGTGGAGGCGGCGGTACGGGCTAGGGCGGTCGAGGAGGTCCAACGCGCCCTCGTGTGCGAGGCGGATCGGCTGGCGGTGGCGTCGGCATCGGCGTCGGCATCGGAGTCGGTGTCGGTGGCAGCACCAGCGTCAGCACCGGAGGAAGATGAGGCGGCTGAGCTGGCACGCAGCGGGGGCGACAGTGAGGGAGAGGCCGACTTGGACGGCGAACCTACCTTTCTACCCTCTCCTCCTACTCGGCGACCGGCGGAGTCGCAGCAATCCCCTGCCCTCGTGCCGTTGGCGAGCGCCAATTTCGATACCGGCAGACCAGCTGTGCCCGAGTCCACCCTCGGCGGTGAGTCTACCTGTATCATCTGCTTCACCCGCGCCAAATCGCACGTCGCGATCCCGTGCGGACACTTGTGCGCGTGCGAGGTTTGCTCTGCCAGAATGGAGCAGTGCCCCATCTGTCGTGACGCGGTGGTGATGTGGTTCCAGTCCTCGCGTATCCGCGAGGCTTGATGACAGATGAGCAAGAGGAAGAAGAAGGTCTGTCTGCTATTAGCTCGGTTACGGTACGTTTGGAACGCGCTTTCCAAGTGAGATCAACATCAACAAACGATGGAGCTCTTCGGTAAGAGAGGACAAACCTGGCTGTTATCTCACGAGCGTGCTTTCTAGAGTGTAGAGAGGTGGGTACGTACAACGTTTTAACGTAGACGACCGGCCTCAAGCTCAACCTGCAGCTGGGCACACAGACAGGGGTCCCCTCCGCCTCCCGTTTCAGTTGGTTGTTGCACGAGTATATGGGCCAAAAGCGTCGAAAATGTCCGAAAAAAGCGTGTCTCGAGTTTGTTGCAGCTCCGCAGCCTGCGCGCGCTGCCGGGACGCACCGCTTGCTGGATCTGTGCACTCCCTGGGTCCCAGGGAGTGCACAGATTCAACAGGAGTGAGCAGGCTCGACGACGTACTCGAGATGGAGCTGCAGAAAGTACGCCGCCGAGCGTGCCACCGAAGGCGTCCCGTCGGAGGTGATGGAGTGTGAGACCTGAGGCGACGGAGGTGACGCCTGAGGTACCGGCCCGTGCACGGCGACTCAGCCGGCGACCGCCACGGGCTCAGACGAGACTTGTCGACTCGTTCCATCTCAGCTTCACCGTGGTCATCGGGCGTCTGTCGACGTCAGGACCACCCATACAGCTCGCGGGTTTGAGGTCGCAAGAGCCAAGATGGTGGCGTTTGGACATCCCAACCATCACACAAGACAGCCTGTAGGTGATGGCGGGACGGCGCAGTGTTTGTGGCACTCGGCAGTAGGCACCCGCGGCACAGCCCCGCTGTCGGCTCTCGCGGGCTGCGGAACCGGCCCCATAAGGGGACGGTGAGGGCGAGTGTGGCAGCTCCTGCGCTAGTATGGGCACCCTCCATCACAACACTACTGATCCTGGTCATCAGAGCTGCCAGGGATAGCGTCAGGAGCCGGTAGGAGTCAAAACCCCTCATATTTGAGACATCGTGGCCCATATACTCGTGCAACAACCCCAGTGCGCGTTTGAGAGCGTTTAAAATGCGGCCGACACCGCGTTTCAGCGGCGCGACCGGTATCCCGCGGGGCAAGGTACCGTACTAAGTACGTGTGCTCAGTACAAACAAATAACCAATTTGCGCGGCGTCGCAGAGACAGAGCTTTTGCTGGCCTGCTTCCTGCGCGGTGACATCCCGACCGGATCCCGACCAATCGCGGCTCTCCCCCTCACGCCGGCACCGCCGGCGCCAAGCTCGCCATAAGAAGCGCCACGCTCAGGCCGACGCCGCCGACGACCGACGCTCCCGCCGCCCCGACGGCAAAGGGCGCGAGACCGGCGCCGTGGAAAGCGGCGAAGTTGACGGAAAGCCCGACGGCCGCGAGTCCGGTGGAGAGGAGGACCTTTGTTCCTGACACGCACAGAGGGCGGTGTGAAGAGGCGCCGTGGTGGAGCGGCGGTGGGCAGGGGAGATGAGGGGAGGTGTGGGGAGATGTGGGGAGATGTGGGGAGGTGTGGGGAGATGTGGGGAGATGTGGGGAGATGTGGGGAGATGTGGGGAGATGTGGGGAGATGTGGGGAGGTATGGGGAGATGTGGGGAGATGTGGGGAGATGTGGGGAGGTATGATAAGGCGCTCGCCTAGGGCAGGTGGCTATCGCGCGTAATCTCGCGTAATCTCGCGCAATCTCGCGCAATCTCGCGCAATCGCGCCGAGCACAGCACCCAGCCAATCGGCCCCGCCCTTCCACTGCGCACTGTCGAACGCGAAGAGCGCGCTGCCACCGTTCGCCAGCTGCGCGTCGCCAAGCGTCCGGACTGCCGCCATGGCCAGGAACCCGCCGACGAACGCGGGCACCGCCGCGGCGAATGTCTTTGCCGTCACGCCTCCTGTGGCGCCTGCTGCGAGATTACGCGAGATTACGCGAGATTACGCGAGATTACGCGAGATTACGTCGCGCCGCGCGTGGCGCCTGCTGCGAGCTAAGGTAAGGGAAGGTAAGGTCAACGTCTCCACACACACAAAGTGGTGGGGCAAGGGCCAGGCGACTCCCTCGCATCTCCACGCTCGGACACACGGGCGGGAGCCCCACGGCGTCCTGTGAGCTGTGTGCTGTGTGTCCAGCAGTCCGGACCCGGTGCTACGGCCGGTGACAGCGTGCCTCGTGTCGGCTCCCGAGCCAATCGTGTGCAGCGTGTGTGTGTGCGCGTGTGGGCCCGTCCTCCATGCTAGGAGGCGTGTCACTCTGAATGACCACAGCGCTCTGGCGGAGGCACCCATCGCGCTACTGGCAGTGGCTGCGAGACTCTCGTCTCGAAGGTGGGCGCGTGTCGCTCTCTGGAGGTGACTCTCTCCTCGCACCGACGCCAGGGAAGTGTCTCGGAGGTGTCTCGGAAGCGTCTCGGAGGTGTCTAGGAGGTATCTAGGAGGCGTCTCGGAAGTGCCTAGCCCGTGGCGCCTGCTGCATGCCGGACCGCCATCAGCGGCACGACGGCGGCGAGGAAGACGTTTCGCGTCAGCTTCGCCACCGCCGCCGCGCCGACAACCTAGTCAGCCAAAGCTCGCAACACCTTAACCTTCTGACTGCTCGTCCGCCGCACCGCTGCCACCCCGACAACCTAGTCCAGAGCCCGCAACGAGTCAGACTGTGACGCTGCCACCCAGCTTCGCCACCGCTGCCGCTTTTGGCAACCGCTGCGTCGGTGTACTGCTCCGCATACGACGCAGCGCATCCCATCACCTGAAGGAATCCCGGAAGGGTCCCGGAAGGGTCTCGGAAGGGTCTCGGGAAGAGCGTCGGGAGGGTCTCGGAAGGGTCTCGGAAGGGTCTCGGAAGGGTCTCGTGAGACACTGGACGTGGATATACACCGAGATTGCCCGAGATGCTCGGAGATCACCTGCGCCGTGTCGTGGACGGCGAGGCCGAGAAACAGCCCGATCGCGCGCGAGTCGGAGGGCGGGAAGAGGGCGGCGGCGACGTGCGGGTAGACTAGCATGCCGACGCTGCCGAAGGCGACGACGTTGGCGACGGCGATGGCGACCTCGGCTTGCGTGGCGGCGATGGCGGGTGCGACGGCGGAGATGGCGGTGACGCCGCAGATCGAGGTGCCGCACGCGAGGAGAGCGCCGAGGCGCGGCGCCAGGCCGAAGCGCGCCGCGAGCATCGGGATTATAGTCACTCCGGCGCCGACTGAGCACGCCGCTGCGGGCACAGTCGTCCAGCCGAGCGCGAGGATCTGGGCCGCGGAGAGCTTGGCTCCGACGCAGACGATGCCAGTGCGCAGGATGTTGGACGTGGCGTAGGACAGGCCCGGCTTAATCGCCGCAGTCACCGCCGACGGCGCCGCGTTGCCGGCTGCAGCGCCGAGCACGATAGAGACTGGGATCGCCGAGATGTGCAGCTGCGACGGCAACTGCGACGCAACGAAAGTCGCGGCGCCGGCTGTCCCCGCCGCGGCTGCGATGCCTGGCGCGTGCTCTAGCCGCGGCAGCAGCTTGCTGAGGTAGGAGAGCATTCCGGGGGGAGAGCGGGATGAGGAAAAGAATTCTTAAGACACAAGCCTCTCTCATGAGGAAAAGAATTCTTAAACCCAAGCCTCTCTCACAGAGTGTGCTCTAGTCTCACACGTTCGCCCCTGTCGCCTGTCTGTGTTGTTGTGCTGTTGTTTGTCTCTTGGCACCTTGGAGTGCTGCTGCTGGGGGGGGCGACAGGGGGGACGTGGCCTGAGTGATGTGTACGCCCACTCAGGATGTGTGGCAGCCCGCTGGCTGTGTGTCTTGTGAGCTTGTTTGTGTCTGTGTGTCGCTCGTGCGTGTCGTCATCATCTGTCTTGCGTCCACCCATACCGCGTTGGTGTCCAGTCCGAGCCTGACTGTTCTTCACCTTATACATACATACATACAGAGTGTGTGTGAGTGTCACACTGAGGATGACCCCGGGTAAGCGTTCCCGTGCCTCGACAACTGCCGCTGGTAGGCGCGCCGCGCCGAACCATGGCGGGCGCGCCGCGGCCGCGCGCAACCTTCGTCACAATGCCAACCGCGCGCGGCCGTCGACCGGCAAGCACACGCCTCGACTCGGACACACTGTTCCGGGGGCAAGGGAGAGGGGCTGGCTCCTAGCCCGAGAGGAGAGCTTCCGAGACCCACTACAAGACCACGCACGCATCATCCCGCGGCCTGGCGGTCGGCGGGATTGCAACCAGTCTTCGCGTGCCGCCTGTCGTTCGCTCGGGCGCCTTGGGCGTCGGGGTGGCGAGCAGGGGACGCGGCTCTGAGCGCCCAGCGACGCGTGCCGGATGGAGTCCGGCCGCGGGTGACTAGGGAAGTTCGCTCAGGATGTGTGGCAGTCAGTTTGGCTGAGTGTCTTGTCTTGTGGTTCTGTGTGTCGCTCCTGTGTGCCCGTCATCGCCCGTCTAGCGTCCACCCATACCGCGTTGGTGTCCCAGTCGTTGGTCGGACTGTGTTTCGCCTTCCCATCAATCAATCAATCAGCACACTGGCACGACAAGGGCGCGGACTGGCGCGGACTGGCACACACACCGGCTCACCACCGGAGCCGCCTAAGCGACTCCGTTAAGAACGGCAATGCACTCCGCACCATGCACAATGCCGCTCTCCCCGCACGCTAGCTCGTTCACCGTCTGCCACGCCACGGCGGTGTGGAGGACGACCGACAAACGCTGCATTTGCAGGCCGTGCCAATTCTTTGTTGTCCATGTGACCTCGTCCAGGTGCTGAGCATGCGAAAGTTTGTTGCTCAGCTGGTTCGCCGCCTCCCTCAGGGTGCTGCGAACCTCCTTTCCAAAGCCTCCGAAGCCCTCGAAGTCGAACAAACGCAGATCGCAATCCTGCTCCCGCGCAAAGCGGTAATCGCCATCCATCTCCTTGAGCTTTCCCTTGGGGGCATCCGCATCCTCCCCCTCCCCTACCTCCTCCACCTCCGCCTCCTCCTCCTCGTCCTCCTCCTCCGCCACCGCCGCTGCCGTCGCTCCCGACGTCCGTCGCCGCCGCCGCTCGCGCCCCGCGCCCCATAGCAGCCGCCGCGTCCGCCAAACCCGGTTTTCTGAAGCACCCCGTTTTTGCCCATTTTCGGTCATCCGTCAAAATATCTGAAGATCTGACCGGGGGGTTCTCCCCAAACCTTGCTCAGCTGATCCAGCACGGGCCGTAGGCCAGCCCTGGGCAAAGAAACCAGTACCTCAACCGGCTTCCCTGAGCGTCACAGCTCGGTGATCGCGCCGGCCGGACACCACTGTGACGTCCGTTCCGGGCATTTGAACGCGACTTTCGGGGGCAAAGACATGGGCTCTATGGCTCAGACTGGACTCCTCTTGGTCCCTTCTGATGCCCTAGGCCACACCTGGGCCTTACCTGGGGTCCTAGGGGCCGGGCAGGGTTTTTGCCCCCCCCAACTGGCCCGAAGAACCTTAACATTAAAGCCGTAAAACTTGCGCGCTGGCCGCCCACCGAACTCCGAGGTGATGCTGGCCCTCCACATGGCCGCCGCTGCGGCCGCCGCCGAATTGGCCACCACGAATATCCGCTGGGAGCTTGTGATCTCTCACTTCGACGAGAAGCTCGACTGGCTGCCGCGCCTACTCGAGGAGACTGCGCTCAGTAAAGACCGCAGCGCGAGCATTGTTTTCTACCATAAAGGCGGAGGCAAGGTGCGGCTGGAGAACCCGATCGAGGCGGCGGCGGCGTACATGGAACATGGAGGACGCCAGCAACGCACAGTATTTACGCTCCTTCAACGGTTCGCTTGCTTGGTACACCGCGCGCAATGTTGGCCGCGAGCAGGAGACATTCGTGCGCCACCTGAGTCGAGGCTACAACCACCTCGCACCGTTGACGGCCTTTGTGCAGGGCAATCCGAATCACTCAGGAAACGTGCTGGAAGATCTCAAGCACGCGATTCGGACGCGTTTGGTGCCAACGCCACGAAGCATTGCGTCGGATCGATGCGGCCTCCTCGGCAGCCCCCGTGTCCCGTCGCTGGCCGATGGCTGCCACAACCACTGCGGGCTCGCCGTCGCCGCAACATGCGCCTTGCTGCGCCGGGCGGGGGGCTCCGGCTCGCGCCTCTCGTGCCGCGAGCCGTTTCGGTTCACGAATGGCGGAATGTTCTACACCAGCCGAGACGCCGTGTGGGCCCACGACCGCTCGCTCTACCGTCTTATGCTCGGCATGCTAACGGGCGAAGCACGGTACACGCGGCGGGCGCCCCTTTACCCTTACATATACGAGCGTTTGTGGGACAGTATCCTCAACTGTTCCAGCTAGGGAGGCGCGGCTCGGGACGTCGTCCTTGCCGCCATCAAGAAAAATACGCGTACGAACTCCCGGAAGTGCTATTAGCACAAAAAAATCACAGAAAATTCACAAGCGCTCGCGGAGCCGAGCCACGCGTCACGCAGCAGCCCTGAGGTGCCCTGAGCACACATGCGAGCACCCATGGTCATACGAAGGAGGTTTGACGGGTGGGAGCGGACACCACCCTCGCGGGATTTCTGTGCCAGCAAGTACCACCGGCCGATGGGTGTTGGCTCGACCGCCCCCCCCCCCCCCCCTCGCAAGAGAAAAACGAAGCAAAGCCGACGCGGAGCTAGTCGAACCCCGGTCCCAACGAGATTCGAACTGGCAGCACCTCAAAGCATGCCCTCGCTGAGCATAGACGCGTGCCAGCAGTGCTCCGCGGCGGTGAACGCCGCGGCTGGCTTGTTACAAGTGCGAGAGGCGATGCTGCTGAAGCAGTTGCTGCGCAACGCCTCGTCGTACTTGGAGTGGGGGGCAGGCACATCGACGGTGCTTGCGCTGACCACCATGCACCGCCAGGGAGTCGTGCACACCATCGAGAACCAGGACGGGTGGTGCGGTGTGATGAACACGCGAACGGACATGCGCTGCATCCACGCGTGCACCGAGCGCCCCAGCCGCTTCCAGCTGCACTGCGTACGTGACGGCGCGCAGCTCGCGGGCTACCACTTTGATCGCAACCTGTCGCTCCACAGTGTTCCGAGGCCATACAACGGCGTGGTGAAGTTCAGTGGACAGGAGGTCGTGCCGGCGCGCGAGCACGGGTTCCATTACGTCCGCCTGGCGGCGGATCTGCAGGACACGTTCGATCTCATCCTGGTCGACGGGCGTTGGCGAGTGGCGTGCGCCATGCAAGCGTGGCTGCTCGCCAATGAGAAAACGACCGTGCTCTTCCACGACTGGGGGCGCAAGGAGTACCACAGTCCGACCCTGTACCATTTCAAAGTGGTCGACCAGGTGGGCCAGCTCGCTGTTCTGAAGCCTAAGCACTCGAAGCATGCCAAGAAGAGGGAGGTTGTTTGGAGCGACCTTCTGAGTGCGCTGGATGCCCCAGGCCCTTGAGCCCTTGAACGGCTGCCGGGTGGGCGTGAGGCAGAAGGGAAGGGGGAGGGGTAGCGTGGCAGCTTGCAGACGAGACCAGACGCCTCGCGCCTTCGCGCCTTTTATAGTCCTTTCGCCCCGCTTTCGCGGGACGGGCCTCGAGCGACTGTGCACCCCCCCCGATCTTTATAAAAGTAGTGCATCCGGCGTCCGGTTAAAGTTCGCGCGGACCCGCCGCATGAGCGACTTACAGTAGACTTTAGACTTTAGAAAACGGAAGAACACCGTAAATAAGAGGATAGAGGTTCCTCTTTTCCGCGCCCCCCCCGCAAGGCGCGCGATACACAAATATACAGAATACAGGGCCTCCCAAGCCCAGGCAAATGGCGAGCTGTGCAGTTAGCCGATACGCGATAGCTATGCGTCTTGGAACGAAAAGTCGTCTGAGGACTATTCCGAAAATTTTAGGTAATACGGTATTCCTCGGGGACGCAACGAAATCTATCGGGAGGAGTGTTCCTCTCGTTCCCAGCCCCCGGTTAGCCCCCCCCCCCCCCCCCGCGCCTTGCCAAGCCCCCCGGCTGCTGCGGAGGGGCAACGTGGCGCAGGTCGCCCAGGACTTTGGCGCGTCTCTATCTCGGTGAGCAGGCGGCGACCATCTGCCGCGAGGGTGAAGGGCATGAAGCTAGGACGACTTGATGGGTCGCAGTCTCGAACTGCATGTGAGCGCTGTACGAAAAGGGATGCCGCAGGTCGCACCTCATATTCACTGTTTGCAACCTCGCCGTGTAGATATTTGAATATCTCTCGAAGCAGAGAAGGGGATGCGGTACTAGCGGTCGCTCATGTGACACCAGAGCCTAGCATGCGGTCTTTGCGTCGGGTTCTTTGTTTTGACTTTGTTTGTGGAGGGTGGGCGTGGCTGTGGGGTCGGCGACGAGAGAGAGAGAGAGGGAGAGAGAGAGGGGGGGGGGGGGGGGGGAGAGAGAGAGAGAGAGAGAGAGAGAGAGAGAGAGAGAGAGAGAGAGGGAGAGGGAGAGAGAGAGAGAGAGAGAGAGAGAGAGAGAGAGAGAGAGAGAGGGAGAGGGAGAGAGGGAGACCTGTTCCTGTTACAAAAAAGGGAGCTACCTTCTCCGGCGACACTAGGGACTCGGGCCTGATCCCGCACAAAACATCTCCACACTCTCTCCTCTCCTATGACACAACTCTCCGACCTTGGGCTAGATTCCCATGTTTCACCACAAGCGCCAAACTGCTTCTCGCCGCGCGCTGCTGACAGCGTCAAGTGCGGCCCTTAGCTGAGTAGAACTCGAAGTGGGCGTCGAGGGGGCCTATAGTAGAGTGTGAGCCCGCGCGCTGCAAAGCTCGAGACAGTGGGCGATGGCGCGAGCTGGGCCATGGGTGTGGATCTGAGGGAGGGTGTAGAGGATGTAGAGTGTAGAGCGCTGTAGAGCTGTAGAGATGTAGAGCGCTCTGGAGCGCTGTAGAGCTGTAGAGCTCTACATCCGCCGCGTGACGAGGCGCCTGCGTTGTAGAGCGATGTAGAGCGCGATTTTGTTGTAGAGTTTGTTGTAGAGGCTCTACAGCCAAACCGCCGGGAAGGCAGTGACTCAAAGAGGTCGAGCCGCGCTAATGGGGTGTCTCCGAGCTTAGTGAAGCTCTGATGGACAGCCCTGACTATCCCTGACACACAGAGAGTCCCTCTGACGGCACACAACACCCTATAACTGCGTCATGACCAGCCTGCCATGTGTCGCCGGTGCCGCATTCGTCGCTGTGCTTCTTTAGCAGGCGGTGGACTGTCGGCTGCGAGGACGGTCGCATTTGCGCGAGGCGAGGCGAGCATTCAGACGCGTTGCATGCGCCATGACTCGCGCCAGCGCGTGCGGGAGCTCCTGGCTGAGCGTTGAGTCCAGGCGAGTTGCGCTGGCCACTATCACTACGCCGAGCCGAGCTGACGCGCCGAGGCGCCGGCCAGTCGCAGCCGTGAGGCATGCCATAGCAGCAGAGGCACCTGCCACCCATTGGGCGGGCAGACAGAAGGCCAGGGCAGCACTGGCAAGTGCAACGCGCCTCATGTCGGAGAGCGACCGTGCCTCGTTCGCCGCTTATGATGTAGAGTTTGTTGTAGAGATTGCACGTTGTAGAGCGCCTCTACATCGCTCTACAACGCAGGCGCCTCGTCACGCGGCGGATGTAGAGCTCTACAGCTCTACAGCGCTCTACAGCTCTACAGCTCTACAGCGCTCTACACTCTACATCCTCTACACCCTCCCTCAGGTGTGGATGCTGGGTTGACGGAAATCGAGGGACGCGACCCACTTCGCCACAGACGGTCCCGCGCCTCGCCGCTATGACGGCCACACGACCGCGGCTCGTGTACGTGTGCCCGTCTTTGTCCGGAGTGAAAAGTCCAACGCGCTCGTCGGTGGCGGCTTCCCTCAACCTGCGCCGCGCTCGGCGAACCTCGACAGCGCTTTCGGTGGCATGCAGCTCTTTGCGACAGAAGCCTGGAGAGCAGCTCCTCTGCTGCTCATACACTCTGCACAGCTGACACAGCCTACTGTGCGGCTGCCACAGCTGTGACAGCGATGGGCTCGCCCTCACTGGCCCTCAGTCACTTGTGCTGCGGCTTGTGTGAGCGACACTGCTCGGCGACTGCCGGCACACTGTGAGACCATGGGTGTGAGGTAAAACCACGCTACCAGCGCTTGGTCACATCGGCCCCGAGGTCAGATCCTTCTACTCTGTTGATGACAAGACTTGTCTACCGGCTGGAGCCGAGCAGGAGGGCCCGGCGCACAACCCCTTGGTCAACTCACCCTCCACGACCCCGTACTAATTGCGTGTGACTGTTTCTGCCGTCTTTGAGGAGGCGAGCCTCGTGCCTGGCGGCCGGGCCGTTGCAGCAGCAGGAGACTCGAGGCTCAGGCCGTCGCGTCGCGGCGGCCGGCAGGGAGAGCTCTGTTGGGGTTGGCGTTGGTCTAGAGCACCAACACGCGCTGCGGGATTTTAGAATTCCACTACTTCCTCTGGATGTGAGGTTAATGACTTGCACTCCAAGTGCTCCAATACTTCGAGAACCGAATAACACAAGAAATCGCGCCGCCCACGCGCGGAAAAGAATTTCGGCGAATTAGTACTACGCACATGCCCCGCCCAGTCCGCCAATGCACCCCAAGGAGCTCACGGACGGACGGCAAGCAGTCCGATCCAATTGAGTACTAAACAACAGGAGAGATCGAGAGAGACACCGTCGCGGCGGTGCCAAGGTGAGAGGGGCCACCACAGTGCTCCCCTACTCCGTCTCGCGCGTGACCGCGAAGCGCAGCACGCACGTGACAAAGTCGCGCGCCGCGATGCCGTTCGTGGCTCCTGCCGAGTCGAGATGGTGCCGCTCGTGGATCTCGTAGAGCGAGAAGACGAGGAGGGCCGCCCGCGCGCGCGCCGCCGCGGGGAAGAGCGAGTGGCTTGCCGGCGACCACGGCGCCGCCGCCCGCCGGATCAGGGCCGCCACCTCGCCCGCGCCGCCCGCGGCGCGCTGCAGCGGCGTCGGCTCGCCCTCGTGCAAGCTTGCGCCGCTGCGCAGCAAAGAGAGGGCGCGGGCGGCGGTGAGGGTCTCAAGGTGCGCGAGCGGCGTCCAGCCGCGGCTGGCGACCAGCCAGGCGGCAAGGTCGGTGTGGCCGTCGCGGTTCGCGACCTCCTCGGGCGTGCCGAAGGGCGGCATTGCGGCGCGGGAGGCGCCGTAGGAGGAGAGGAGCTTGGCGACCTCGAGGTGGCCGTTGAAGCATGCCATGATCAGCGGCGCGAAGCCGTTGTTCGTCGAATGGCTGACTGCTGCGCCGGCCTCGAGGAGCAGCCGGGCGATGTCGAGGTGGCCGTTGTGGCACGCGATGAGCAGCGGCGTGGCGCCGTGGGTCGTGACTTGTTCGACCGCCGCGCCTGCCTCGAGGAGCAGCTGGGCGAGCTCGAGGTGGCCGTTCTGGCACGCCATGTACAGCGGCGTGGCGCCATTCTGCTTGGCTTGGTCCTTCGCCGCGCCCGACTCGAGAAGCAGCCGCGCGCACTCGACGCGGCCGTTCTCGCACGCGGCGAACAGCGGCGTGACGCCATCGTTGCGGGCTTGGCTGGCCGAAGCGCCCGCCTCGAGAAGCAGCCGGGCGATCTCGAGGCGGCCCTCCTGGCACGCGATGTACAGCGGCGTGGTACCGCAGTTCATCGCTTGGCTGATGTCAGCGCTGGACTCGAGGAGCAGCTTGGCGCACTCGAGGTGGCCCTGCTGGCACGCGATGAACAGCGGCGTGGCGCCGTCCTCCGCGGCTTGGTTGACTGCCGCGCTGGCCTCGAGAAGCAGCCGAACGATCTCGACGTAGCCGTTCTGGCACGCCATGTACAGCGGCGTGGCGCCTCTGGCACTGGCCTGGTTGATCGCCGCGACCGCCTCGAGGAGCAGCCGAACGATGTCGAGGTGGCCTTGCTGGGACGCGATGTACAGCGGCGTGCAACCGTCCTCCGTGGCCTGGTTGAGCGAAGCGCCAGCGTCGCGCAGCAGCCGGACGATGTCGAGGTGGCCCTGCCAGCACGCAATGCACAGCGGCGTGGCGCCGTCCTCCGTGGCTTGGCCGACCGCCGCGTTGGCCTCGAGGAGCAGCCGGACGCACTCGACGTGGCCCTCAAGGCACGCGATGAAGAGCGCGGCGCGGCCGGTGCCGGTCGTCGCCCCAACGCTCGCGCCGGCTTCGAGAAGCAGCCGCACCGCCTCGGCTTGCCCGTGCCGAGCGGCCCAGGTGAGCAGCGTGTCTTGCGTGTCGGTGTCGAGCCGCGCGTCGAGCTGGGCCGCGAGCGACGTGCCGCGCGTCCCCCACTCGGAGAGGAAGGCGCGCAGCGAGCCCAGGTCGCCCACCGCGAGGTCAGGAGGAAGGCTGGCGCTCATGGAGCCGGGGGCCAGAAAGAAGAAAACGCGTCCCCAATTCACAGCGCGCTTTGGGCCCCGCCAGTTTGGTCGGGGGTCCCCGAAGTTGGTTGTGCGGGCAGCCCCAGCCAGACCCCAGCGGCTCCGTGCAACGCGCAAGTCCCGACCGCCGCCCGCTCGTCCATCGCCGCGACCGCCGACGCGCTTGGCCTGATGTCAAAGCGAGGCTACCCGGAGGGCGGGTTCTACGACCGCCGGCGCGACGACCGGCGCGACCGTCGTGACGATTACGATTACGACCGCCGAGACCGCCGCGACTATGGCGGCCACGGCCACGGCGGCGGCAGCGGCAGCAGCTATAGCTACTACGGCAGCGGCAGTGGCTTCAGCGGCAGCAACGGCAACGGCTACCACAACGACCGCGATATTAGTCGCGGCTATGGCGCTCCCAGCAGCTCTGCCGCTCCCAGCAGCTCTGCACGTCCCAGCAGCTCTGCCAATCCCAGCGGCCACCGTGAGGAAGTCGAGTGGCGGCCTGGGCACAGCGTGACAAGCCAGGGGATGTAAGAGGAGGGAGGTGGCTGTGGGCGGGGGAGGGGGCGGTGGCTTGGCACGGCGCCTTGCACTCCGTCAGACTGCCGTAGCCGCGGTACTCCGTGTTGTCTCCGTGGCCGCCGTCCGCCGTCCGACACGCGCCCTGCGCCGCCCCTGGCCCCCCGGGAGGATCCCACGGGGCGTCCGCGTCGCAGCCGCAGGGTGTCGGCGGAGCGGAAGGGGGCGGTGAGGGCGGCGGCGATGCAGACGGCGAGAGAGGTGGGGCAGCGGGCGGCGAGGGTGAGGGCGGCGGAGGGGGCGGCGGAGGGGGCGGTGGTGATGGCGGCGGTGATGACGGCGGTGGAGAGGGCGGTGGCG